CAACATCCTCAAACTGGCTATCGAGAATGGCCTTGGCGCCCTCGTCAATGTCCAGCCGGTTAATGTCCATCTGCAAGACGTTGATTCGCTTGTCGATGGCACCCATCCGCTGCTTGGCGAAGACGCGGTTCTGAGTTGTCGTTGCCTTGCGGCCCTCGAGCTCGGTGATGACGCTCGTCGCTTCATCCAGCTCGCGCGCATTCTCTTTTTGTGTCCGATCGAGGTCGCGCTTCTTCTCGGCCAGTAGCTTTTGGATGCGCTCGTTAAAGGCCTTGATTTGAGTATCCTTGAGGTCGCCGTCATAGCCACGGAACCCGTGAAGCCCTGCGGCGTCCCGGACCAGCTGCATGCGGGACTGAAGCTGGCGTTCGTATTTGTCCTTGTCGGACTGATGCTTGCCCTGCTCTGCAAGCTTGGCAGAAAGCTCGCGACGGGACTCGGCTAGATCATTCTGCAGCTCGGCATACTGGGCCTTGTTTTCGTTCGCTTCTTCCTCGTAGAGGGCCATGCGCTCCTCGTACTGAGCGAGCGCATTCTCCAGGTACGCGTCGTCCTCGGAAAGCTCCTCAAGAGTCATTTTGATATCCGCAATGGAGCTTTCGCGATAAGCGAGCTGATCCCTCTTGAACTTGAGGTCGTTGACGATATTTAGGTAGCTGTTGGCCTGCTCGTGTTTCTCACGGATCTGCTCCTGCAGCTCTTCCATCTCGAGGGTGAGGGCGGTGCACTTTTCCCGGGACTCCTCGATATCGTTCTGCAATGCCATGGAGCGCTTCTCTGCGCGATCGCCCTTCTCTTTGTTGATTCGGTCTTGTTCCTCAAAAATTTTCAGCTTAGCCAGTTCTTCGCCCTGCTTCTTTCTGAGGACCTTGAGGTTGTCGATGGCTTTGGTATATCGCATGGCCTCAAAGATCTGGTCAAATTGCTTCTTCAGGGCGGCAGGCTCGCTCATGGGCCATAGAGACTCGTCCTGGTGGCAGAAGATGACGTAGTCGAGGATGGCTCTGGAAACACCAAGTTCCCTCGGGATGAACTCATCCATCTGGGCGACTCTGGACGAGATGACGGTACGCTCGCCATTGTTGTTGTAGACCAGTGATCCTTCGAGAGTCTTGAGAGATCGGGAGTTCTTCTTGACGGTCAACTGCAAACTACGCGTAGAGACGCACTTATGGCCACTTGTCGAAGTGAATGCAAGCTTGACCTGGGCCAGAACCTCCTTCTCACCGCACAACTAGGAAGCGTTAGCCGCAATTCACCGACGGGGATTTGCAGTGGACGGAGGGCAAGATACGAACCTTGGGGTCATGGACGAAGGCACCGCCCTTGCTGTTGGGGGGCTGTTCGCCGGTAGTGGCGTACTTGAGACACTCGATAATGGTGGTCTTCCCGGAGCCGTTGTACCCGACGATAAGGGTCAGGGGGGTGTAGAATGAAATAGTTTCGCGGCTGCCGCCAAAAGAGCGGATGCCCTGGACGGACAGCTTATCGATCTTGGACATGGCGGGCGGTGCCTCTCAGGGCCAAATGCCGGGCGAATCCAGGGCGTGTATGATTCGGTCGTGCAGGGTCAGTAGTGTCGAGGAGAAGTCTAAATGGAAGCTTAAAGGGGAGATGGCACTCAGTTTTGTGCTTCCTGGCAATTGGGTATTACCGCTCGCTGCCTTGCACCAGGCTACAATCGGTGTAGGTCGCTCGAGGTGGGCGTGGATGGAGGGTGTTGGACATGGGTGGGATTTGACGCGAGCTCTGGGGACACTGGGAATGGCACGCGTGTAGGCAACAGATGCGAAAAAGCGTGACTTCGCGCCTGACGATAAGACTTATTAAGAAGTGCCTTCCCTTCGGTGGGTGGATAATGCATGCCTACTAGGATCAGGCTCCAGGTTCCAGGCCCCCGGCTCCCGGCACACCAGGCCCCCACGGTGGCCGGGATAGCGTCGGTCGAAAGCTTGCGGGGTCTCAGCCAGCGAAATACCTATATATGGCGCAAAAACCGCGGACTGACTATTGCAACTGACGCCAATAAAGGATGAGACGGACGCCTATCCAGGCCAGCCTTTGCAAAATGCTCCTGCGCAGCTAGACGTATATCCGGTGGACAAAAGGCACAGACAGCCTCACAGCCATACGCCCCCGGTTTCCCTCCCCCCACTCTTTGATTCCGTTCCGTTCGTCCCCAAGACCCTATTGCGTCTCTTATCCGTTGTCTGAAGGAGGAAGAGCTGCGGCGTTGCAACTGCGCCTAAAGGCGCTTTATACCGAGTGGGACGAAAGGTGGCCGGCTAGACTGAGTTTCTTGCAATAGCCGGCGACAAGTTGTCAGGCAGAAGATTCAATCTGGCAATAGGGCACAAGATGCGTGAATGGAAAGTTACAGCCTAAATTGACGCAAGTCAGTCAATGACATCATGATTCAACTTTAAATAGCGTCTGCTAGCCCAAGTTCAGACCATCGTGTCAAACAAATGCCAGATGGGTTTCACCAAAGACGGAGCGAGTAGCGTACCTACGGTACCTGAGTGGAGTGGTAGTCGTAGTAATAGCAGTAGTAGTAGTAGTTGTTGTTGTTGTTGTAAAGGCAACGAAGGGGAAATCTTCAGCATCTTCACCACTCGAGCGAGGTAAAGGCAAAAAGCACGGCGCGCGCAGGGCCCGCAAGGATGGATGAATGTTAGCGTATTGGGGGTCAGTAAGTCAGCAAGCTGTCAAATCCCCACTGAGCCAGCTGCTGCGAGGTGCTTGCTAGCTGCTCGTTTAGTTTAGCTGCCGTGCCCAGGTGGGCAAGCCATTATGTAATCCTGGCTCTCCGTTCGGCGGCGAAAGCTGCGGGAGTTGGGAGCTCTGTAGGACCCTTACCAGCGGCCAGTACACATACACCACCCGCTGGATGATCATCTACTATATGTCTACGGAATACTCTGTATACCTAAAGGTGGGCGGTAGCTAGTCATGCCAGAGCCCAAAGGCGGTTGTTCTCCACCCGAGACCCGTTGTTGTATGACTCCAAACAGGACCAAATTCCACGGCGTCTTCTACTCGTGCAGAAACCTCCGGGGCATTTGCTCCGGATCGTAGCGCCCTAGCTAGCACCTCCCAGGGGAGGATCGCTGTGCGAAGCCCCTGGGGGTTCAGCTCGGAGACTACAACACCGGGTGGTGGCCCACCAGCATGGACGGCGGCGCAATGGGAGTTGGAGAATGACTAGGTAGGTAGATGGGTACTTTGAGAAGAGAATCCAAAGGGAGGCAGAGCCCAAGATATTTATTTGAAGGCCGGCGGCCAAGTGGAACAAAGGTTGCAAGACAGGCAGATAAACTAGCTAGCTTACCTAGGTACCTTAGTGCATACCGGTAGGTAATTACCTAGCAAGCAAGCAAGCAGCAGCCGGTTTTGGTGGGAATGCGAATGGATGCCTCTTCCTCCAGGGTAGGGTGTCCATTCCATCACCTGCTACTGCCACCAAATATCCATGCCCCGCGACTGAAAATTGCCATGTGCTCCATTTCCATTTTGTAGTTTCCCATCTTTTTCCTGGGTTCCTGCTTTTCCCACATCTTGTCGTCTCCCAGATTCCCACCCTACCTACTACCTAGGTACCGTACACCACGCGCCCTTCTTCCTTCCTTCCTTTCTCTCTTCCCTTCCTTCGACAACTCGAGCGCACACTTCTTCTCCTTCATAGCCCTCGTCTTTTCTCCCCCCCTTTCCTGTCCCTCCATTTTTCAACTGCGTTCCATCTCGTCCCCCGGTCCTCCGCCCCTCGCCTCGTCCCTCTGTGTCTCCTATCTTCCTCTCCTGAGGGTAGGTAGGTAGGTAATCAGACTTGGCCTCGTAGTCCACGTCCCAACCCGACTGGACCCCAAACCCAACCCAACCCAGCAGCCCGCACAGGTTGTGTCTTACGACAGTCGCAACAGCCCAAGAGAAAACACAGGGACAAGACACGAGCCTCGCCTCGTTACCACCCTCGATCAACATCAGCCCTCTCTCCCTTTCTTATTTTATTTCCTTCCCTCTCACTCACACACAACACTCAAACACACACATACACACACACACACACACACACAACCACACACACACAACCACACACACACAACCACATACGCATTCCCTCTCTCCGTCGTCTGTCAGCGCTCCGTACTGCTAGGTACTGCCGCTGCTACACTTACCACTCCTGCGCCTTGCACCGCACTACAAGGCCAACTTGCACTAAGAATCGGACTGGCCGGGTCACGTCTGTACTAGCAGCAATCCAGTTCGGCATTTTTATTGTGGCAAACGCCCATCGGCTAGGATTCTCTCATCATATCAGACTCAAATCTGTCCCGCGCTCCTGTCGTGGCCGGTTTCTTTCCTCTCTTTCCATCGTTCGTTCAGTTGCATTCACCACGCATTCGGGTATCGACCTCAAAATCGACATTCGTTCCTGTCCCGGTGAGCAGAGCAGTATAGCCAGAGACATGGAAGAATAAGCCGGGTACCATTCGATGTACAACGCCCCGTACTCGCCCGTATCTTTTTCTTTTCTTTTCTTCGTTAGGTACTCTTGATCTACCGTGAATCTAGGTCTCGTCGGACCCAGTTCCAACTCTCCGTGTCAGTTCACGTCACCCAGCCCCTCTCCTTCGAAACGCCTCGACTGCATCCGCTATCGCGGGCTCGCCTTCGGGCTTCGTCGGCGTGGCCGCGGCTGTGGGCGCTGTCCCGCTGCACCACGGGCGCAACGAGCATATCGCACTTTGCGTTGCAAGCAGCAAAAAGAAAAGAAGAAAACAACGCCCCCAACAGAGTTGCAGTGCCGTATCGTGAGCAGACCACCTTCCGCCTCGAGGAACACCATTTGCTCCCCCCAATACCAATATCGAATTACGGCGCAAACCGTCGATGCCTTTGTTAGAAGCCGTCGGGCTAGTATCGGATCTTTACCGCCGCAACCATGTCCCACGGACCCCCTCAGCCTCCCCCGGTCAATTTCTTTGGCTTCGGGCCCCAAGATGCACTTTCTGCCTTCGATGCTGTTAGTACCCCCCGCCAGCTTCCCTTGCCTGGTCCTAATCCGATACGTGTACACTGTCTGTCTACTTCACTTTCCCATAACCGCCTCGCTTCCCTCTTGTTTCCCCCTTCCCGACCCGCCGACCCCCGGCGCATTCCTCTTCAGACCCCACACAATCTCCCGCAGACCGCCCCTCCCCCCTCCCTCTACGTCGCGCTGACAGAATGCAGATGGCTGAAGCCGACCCCAACATCATGTCCTCTCTCCTGGACCCGACAGTCTACGGGAGCTTTGACGCCATGTCTATGAGCGTCGACAACCCCCACGACGACGGCACCATGTCCGCCTTCAATTTTGTCGGCAACACCCCCATGCCTGACGGCCTCGGAGACGAAACACCCTCCATGAGCAACAATTATTCAAACAATGGCGACGATGCTTCTAGCGTTGTCGGCGGGGGGCCTCCACCGGCCGGTGGCATGAATGCGCAGTCTTTGCAGCAGGCCGGCAGTACCCTGACCGAGTTCACAAAGAGGCGCAACTGGCCCGCAAAAGTCGTGGAAGAGCTCAAGGACTTTCTTCAAATACTCGACGCCAACGGTCGCCTACGATACGTCTCGCCCAGCATCTTGAATCTGACGGGCTACGCCGCCGAAGAGATCACCGACACTTTCCTCAAGGACCTGGTTCATCCAGACGACGTCGGCGTTTTTGTCGCCGAGCTAAACGAGTCCATAGCCTCAGGGAACCCCCTACGCCTGTTCTTCAGGCTCAAGAAGAAAGATGGCAAATACGCCATTTTCGAGTCGGTAGGCCATGCGCACATCGCTGCCGCCAAATTTGCGCCGAATCCCCACAACCAATCTCCATTCTGCCAGGCGGTGTTCATGATGTCGCGCCCGTACCCAACAAAGAACGCCGGCCTGCTGGACTCGTTTTTGGAACACAAGATCGAGAATGAACGCCTGAGGAGGCGCATTGCCGAGCTGCGCCGGGAGGAGGAGATGGAGAACGAAGAGTCACAACGGCAATGGATGCAGAGCCAGGAGGGCAGGTCAGACATGACGCCGTCGGAAACCACAATGACGTCCGCCCCGAGCCACGCGTCTCGCAACACGGAAACGGGAGATAGGTCGTCGGCCCTCAACGTCGCACTCACGCGTGAGGCTCTGGAAGGCGTCGCAGGAAGCCGCCCGGACTCGCTGAAGGACAAGATGGCCAGGTACGAAGGGGGGGCTTCGCACACGGACACCATCGAGATGTTGACTGGGCTGAGGTATATCGAGGGTGAAAGAAGTCGCGGCATCACGACAGGCAACGCAAGTCCAACATTGATCAAGGGCGACGCCGGCATTGCCATTCCACTCGACCGGGACCCTCGGACAGGCGACAAAAAGAAGAAGCTCAAGACTTCGGAGGAATACGTCTGCACCGACTGCGGTAAGATCCAGTCCAATTCCAGCTTTGTGCTACTCTGTGCACATCCTAACCACGATAATCAGGCACCCTGGATTCCCCCGAATGGCGTAAAGGCCCAAGTGGGCCAAAAACACTATGCAACGCCTGCGGCCTTCGGTGGGCCAAGAAAGAGAAGAAGAACAGACACAACGGCAACAACTCCAGTCATCAGGCGGGCTCGTTACAAGTCGAGCATGGCTGAGGTTAAGTTTTGATGAGTAACTGTCGGCGCATTGGTCGACAGATGCCCTAGAGGGCTAGGCACGGCTCTCCCATGACCTCACCCGGCTGGAGTGGGCATCTGGAAGACAGCATGGCGCAGACTACTATTACATTGACGAACATATGGCTGTATGCTGCTTTTACGTTGTTATTGATTTGCAGCAACCGAGATACCTGGATACGACTGGACAATGGGACACACGGGGCGAGGCCTTCGGATCAGCAGTTTCGAGAGAGCGAAATTCAAGCCATGTTGCTTTCATTAGCCGGCGAGCCATCCACCGAGTCAGGTACAGTTGACGCGGGCAGCGGCTCGGGCGGGAACCACTGGATGTGTTGACCTATTTTCTCCTCTTTTTTTTCTTCTTTTTTTTTTTTCTGCCGTTCAGCCGGCGGTCCGCAAAGGCCCTCGGCCAGAAAGATCAGCTCCTACGGAGTGCGAGATGAGTGATATCCAAATGCGTGTGCGTGCGTGTGCGCTTCGCCTAGATACTTCGCCTCGGCGACACTTTGTGGCCCACAATCGGATTGCCTCACTTGCGCGCGCGCACGCGCACTTGCCGGCTTGTAGTGACACGCGAGGCTCGTATGTTTCCTAAAACTTGATGTATGCCCTATAAACCAGTTCTGGACCTGGCTGGGTAGGCTCCGACTTTGCACCCGAGACAGCTCAGGCCATCCCAGCCGGGAGGGATCTTGATTGGATGGTCAGAGCTTGTGATGCGAGTGCAACCTGGACCTGTTGATTGTCAACAGGCTCCAAGTGGGTACTTTCGACGATGCTTGGTACTAATACGGACACATCAGATGTGGAGAGGGAGGGGCACGATAAACTGCCAGGGGTCCAACTCACAAGCTCTGCCGAAGTCAAGCACCGTGGGGGCAAGCACTAAAAGCCTACGACTTATCGGGCCGTCGCGTGTACTGACCATCCGCACCGACGATATGTGCGATCTGTGGCAGCTAGAGATGGGTTTGAGGCCCCCTGGACAGCTGGCTCAGCTGCATCGTCCAGGTTATCGATTGTGGATGTGAAATGGCAAGCCACCAGGTCATTGGACGCCGGTCCGATGTTTTGGCGTGCATGGCCAACTCAAGGCTCCTGAGACAGTTGATCGCCCGCCGGTGATGCGGAGACCTACATGTCTCTCCTTTTTTATCTACAAGAGCTCTCAACCTGGTCCTCTTCCTAGACCCTCCTTCCTTTTCTTCATTCATCTCAACATATCCAATACACCTATCTCAGCATACTCAGCCCAAACTCGCCGTCTTCATCATGGACAAGATTATGAATGCCGCCCAGGAGTACCTTGAGAGGGACGACGACAGCAAGTCCAAGCAACAGCAGGGCTACGGTATGTCCTGAACAAGCTTTCCTCCCCTCTTTTATAAACTACCCCGCCATCCCCTTCTACTCTTCCTACCCCGCGCGTCCCTGATGAAAGCTCCGATTAACAAATATCTTAACAGGCCAATCTCTTCCTGGTGGCGACAGTAGGTTTCACCCTTCTCAAATCGAACAAACCTTTTTTTCCTTCTTCGCTGCTCTACAACAGGGAGCGTGCCTGGTTTCATGATTGGGAAACAGAGGGGAAGCCGAGTCGACGATGCGCTGACGTTCTGGGTGCGTCCGTAATTAGAATCTCACGGCGGCAACTACCCCGCGGGCGGTGGAGCTTTTGCCGACGACGACGACGACGACGATGATTATCGTCACGCCGCCAACGAGGCTTCACGCCACGCGGGTTCCCATGGTGATACGGACTTGTTCTCAAGTGTGCTGAGCGCTGTGACGCAGAAGAAGGCACAGCTTAGAAACGAGGACATCGACGAAGATGGTATGTTTCTTGTTTCTTCTGTTTCTACCAACACCATACTGCCTCCCTCTGCTGCCTTTTTTGAATCATTGCAAAGAAGATGGTGAAATTTTTATCGTATGACGGATGGGTCAACATGCGCTTACGTATTTTGTTACTTGCTCCAGACGCCGTGAAGAAGCACAAAAAGTTCTTCGGCGGCGACGATGACGGCGAGAAGGCCGACGACAAGGGCCTCGGTGTCGCAGCAGCGATGCAGGCACTCAAGATGTTCTCGAGCGGTGAGACGGGCGGCCAGAAGCAGAGCCAGGGCGGGTTCGCAGGTCTGGCCATGGCCGAGGCCAGTCGGGTGAGTTGGCGTGTTCCCATCCCGGCAGGTTACACAGATGAAACGGACAACAGCTAACACAACGTCCCCCTTTAGCTTTTCGACCAGCGCCAGTCGCAGGGTAAGGTCGCCGACGGCACGAGCAAGGAGTCGGCCATTCAGCAGGCGGGCGAGATGGCACTCAAGATGTACTTCAAGAGCCAAGGCCAGCAGCAAAGCGGCATCATGGGCTTGGCGTCCAAGTTCATGTAGACGCGACAAAGAAGGGCACTGTTGTTGTCGTGAACCCAACTATACGAATGACGAATCCAGATGCGTTTTCTTGACTGATCACTGGCTAGGGAGGTTTCCAGTTTCGGGCTGGGCATCCAAAACCCCCCCCGCCGCGATTATTCAAGGTACACCAGATAGATAGACAAGAACCTTGACGATTATGATGCTTCCTTTCTTCTTCGCCCACACCGCCTTCTCTACCCCTCTCCTTCTTTCTGGACCCACCTTTGCTTTTTTCCATGATCCGCGAAGATCGGTGTTCCCTCATGTTGTGATGTTAGATGTTCTTCTTGGCCTCGAGACCGCCGTTCTTGGTGACCTCGATTACGTCCACCCACCCCTCGGGTCTCTGGCGGCCCTCCTTGATGAGGTACGTCTCGGCCTCCTTGGCCCATTCGAGGAGCTGCTCCTCGCAGCCCCACTCGCCCATGGCCATCAACCCGACGGGCACCTTGCCCTTACCCTGGACGGGATCCACGTAGCCGATGGGGGCCGTGACGGCGGGGCAGCCACTGACATTGGCGACAAAGACGTAGCTCATGTTGGCGATGGTCGTATTGGCGTCCGAGACGCCGTAGGCATCGTCGCCGGGCTGGCGGGGCCAGCCCGGCAGCGGAGTCGTGGGAGTGACGACGAGCATGCCCGGGTTCTGCTCAAAGAGGAAGGCCAGGTGCTTCATTAGCAGATCGCGCAGCTGGGCGTACTTCATGTAGTCGCCGGCGGGGGTCTGGGTGCCGACGGACATGGTGATGGCGTTGACGTGGTTGATGAGAGACTGCCACTGCTCCGGGTCCGGATGGCGGTGGCGGGCGAGATCCTGCATCTCGGTGATGCAGGTGGCCGAGTGCATGAGCTGGATCTCGCGGAGGTAGGGAATGCGGATGGGGACGGTGGCGTAGCCCTGGGAGGTGAAGTGGTCGACAGCGCGGCGGCAGACGGCGGTGACAGAGGGCTCGGCGTGGGACCACCAGGCTTCGTCGATGGCGATGATCTTTTTGGGGGGAGAGTGCGACAAGGAGGGCGGGATCGAGGGCGTGTAGAGGCCCTGGATAGGGTCGTCCGGGTTCGGGCGCGACATGATGCGGTAGGCGATGGTGAGGTCGGCGACGGTGGCGGCGAGGGGGCCAACGACGCAGACGGAGGTGTTCATGGTACAGGCGCGGTGGTGCGAGGGCTTGAGGCCGTAGGCGGAGTTGAAAGAGGCGGGAATGCGGATGGAGCCGCCGGCGTCGGTGCCGATGGAAATGGGGACAATGCCCGCGCCGAGGGCGGAGCCGCCGCCGGAAGAGGAGCCGCCCGGGTAGTAGGACTTGTTGTGCCAGTTGGTAGGGGTTCCCCATCGAGGCTGCAAGGGTTGGTCAGTATGTGTTGGAGGGGGAAGGGGGTCAGAGTGAGGTTCTCTCCGGCGTCTTCTCTCGACGAAACGGGGAGTTTCACTTACGTTGCAGCCATTGGTGTCTTGGGAAGGGGCCTGGTCAGCTTTAATGATACGCAGATGGGAGGAAAGGGGGGGGGGAGAACGAGTACATACCGCCGCCCAGCTCATGCATGGCGTTCTTTCCCAGCACGATGGCACCAGCTGCCTCGAGCTGGCGAACGGGCCATATGGTCTCTTCGGCGGGCTTGAACCACGGCAGGTCGGGACGGTACTGCATGCCGTTGTGGCTGACGTAGCCCTTGACGTTAATGTCATCCTTGACACCGATGGGCACGCCGTCGAGCGGGCCCAGGGGTTCCCCGCGGCGCCAGCGCTCCGTGGAGGCGCGGGCGGCGTCGATGGCGAGGTCCTCGCGGCCGTGAGAGGCGACCCAGGCGTTGGCATAGGGGCCCGTCTCTGGAGGTGGATGGCCCTCGGCGCGACGGACGAGGGGGAGGAGGGACTGAACTACGTCGAGCGGGGTCGCGGCGCCGGAGGCGTAGAGGGCGTGGTAGTCGGCGCTGGAGAGGTAGCGGGAGGGCTGATCCTGGGGCGCCGGCGTGGTGAGTTCTGGGGTCAGGGGAAAGGGGTCCGGGTGGGTTCCGGATTCAGAGAGGACGAGGACGTCGGGCTGGCTGGTGTTAGTGAGGCCACACGAGGGCTGGGGTGGCGCAAGAGAGGGTGAGGGGAGACGGAACCTGGAAGCGGTATCGGTAGTCGACGAGGCCGGGCAAGTCTCTGATGGAGCCGAACTTTGCGTTGCGCCAGAAAAAGCGTTGGACCGCGCCGGAGTTTGCGACGCTGTTCCATTGTCAGTAGATGAAGGCCGCGGGGGGCGTGATGGCGGGAAACGACGAAGGGAGTACTCACAGTGCCGAGCCCACAACAAGAGGCCAACCGCGGAGGACAGGGTTCTGATCCTCCTTTGGCGTCTCCGAGTTTTCCTGGGCCGGCGCCTCGCGGGCACCGGGATAGTTGGCGTATCTTTGGTTAGGGGCCATTATGTGTGTAGTAGGGCCGTCGGTAAAGGCGACCAGTTGCGGTGGTACGAAGCGGACACCGTGGCGAGCCTGAAGACTTGTGCAGCGTCAATCAGAATAGCCAGTGTGTGTTTCTGAAAGGAAGGAAAGGCCCAGAAGGGAGAGAGGTCAAGTCAAATGGAAGCTGGACGGCAATTATCCGATGCCGGTTGGAGAAGACCCTTGCGAAGGTTAGAGCTCGGCCTGGGCTGCTAGCAGCAAAGTGTTTGGAAGTTCGGGGAGGGTTGACGGGGCTTCTTGTTTCCTCCCTCTCTCGGTGCTTTTCCTGGTCTGCTTCAAATAGTGCACACGGAACACACGGACGGTGAAGGCGGTTGATTTCGGTGCTAGTTGAAACGCAACGGGTTGGGACCAAGGAAGCGCGATCAGCTGCGGGTGAGCTGCGAGTGTGTCGTCGGCGGTGATGAGTGTGAGTTCATGCGGGCTTCTTACCTCAGAGAAGCTCGGATCAGCGACGGGGGTAGAGCTTCTTAGCAGATGTGGGGGGCCGGCCCCATAGTTCGGCAGGTGAGACGCGGATGGGCTGGTTATCGAAGCTTGCTTCACGGAAGGGGTGGATGCGACAGCCTCCGTGCCTCGGCATCTTTTGGCGATGGAGGGGGGGTCGCGGGAATTCGCTGGAGGCATGCGAATATTCCCTATCTACGAAAGTGTGCCTCTCACTGTCTCAATGACATTGCCGTCATCGAGCTCGGATTCCGTTTGCTGTGCGAGGCAGAGTGGACCATCCATCCCATCGTCCACCCGCCAGCCAAGATTTGAGAAGGGCAAGCGAGTGATTGTTCAATGTTCTATTTAAGTATCTAACGCAGCGCAGATCTCCGCGCTCGGTTCCCCGGCTGCATTCGCCCGGGCTCTTCTCCTAGCAGGCCCATCCGCAAAACAATTCCGACATGTTTTGAGAATATTCCGACTTCCCCGCCGCCATCCCACCAGGGCTAAGCTAAAAAAATATGACCCCTGGGGACGATATCCAAAGGAGCCTCATCTACTTCTTCCGCAAGGGAGCGGACGTCAAGCTCCGACCAGCAAACGATCGCACAGGAAACCATAGAGGGGGAAGAGAAGAAAGAGACAGACAAGACAGAGGTAAGGGACGAGGAAAAGGAGCCAAATCCCATTGTTGACTCTTTGTATTTCTACATACGGCCGCGCTGTCCCGTGGGAAGCAGCTGTTCCTGGCCAGGCATGCCATGCCCATATCGCTCGCTCTCGTAAACCGAACGCCTTCCCTGAATCAGAAATTGCTCTCCCAAAACCCGCAGGCCGAGAGAGTTCGCTTCCCATTGTTTTGTCCAAGCCGGTTACCACCACGGCTGCCAAACGAGTGAATGCCCCCTTCCTTTCCTGAGGAGTGTGCGTCATACCGGAGAGAAGGAAATAAAACAAAAAAACCAAAGGTCCTAAACGCCATGCCGATCCAGGTTCCGTAGAAACGAAGGAACTAAGAAGAAAAGGAAGGCCCGTTTTTTTTTTTTTCTTCTTTGCTCATCTGCCCATGTCCAGTAATTCGTCTCAATGCTGGCCATGATCGTGTGGATGAAGACGGTAAAAGAAGATGACTGTTGAATAAGCCCTGGCCTCTGAAAGGGCATCTGGTGGTGTCGTGAAAGCGAGGCAGGGCGGTTGCGTTGTGTTACGTTTCCGGGGTGTCTGGGTATATCGTGTGAAAGTGAAATGGAATGCGACAAATATACCTCTGTCGACTGAGTGCTATGAGAACCCGTCATCTCAGTCACGCTGAGTGCCTTTGCGTGTACTGGGCTGTGATACTTTTGAGGATATGTATTGCCATGACGGACGTGGGCAGTTTCCCCAGGGAAACAGACCCCTTTTGATGGGGCCGGCCGTCAAGATAAAAAAAGATTTATGTCGAAAGGCCCAACGAAGCTCAAGGTAAGGTCGAAGAAGGACCTTACTTCTTGGCCATATTATCATGCAGTCGCAGAATTCTAGTCCGAAACCACAAGACGAAGCTCGTCCAGGCGCCCTGCGTCTTGCGCTTGGCAGTCAGGGAGCGGCGGGGTCCCTCGAACATGACCTCGTCGGCCACAGGAGCCTGGCCCTGGTCAGTGCTCTCGTAGTTGCGGCTGGCAAACCCGACACCACCACGGTTCTCGGCAGCTCCCATGGCCAGCTTTTCGGCATCGGGGGCCGTCCTCTTACGACTGATGGAAGGTCGGATTATGTCGCTGGAGCTGTTGCGGGCGCTGTGGGAGAAGCTCTGCTTGCGGGCGGCCTCTTTTGCCTCTCGCTTCATCATCAGCTGCTGCTCGCGCTCATGGCGCAAAGCCTCCTTGATGTCGGCGCGCTCTCGCTTGCGCATCTCCTCCTTGTCCCTCTTCTCGTTCTTCAGGCGTTCCTTCTCCTCCCAGCGGTGGCGCTCCAGTCGGATGCGCTCCTGGTGGTAGTTGGAGTCGAGGTCGGAGCGCGAACGCAAACGGAAGCCCTCCAAGGAGGTGCGCAGGGGAGACATGGCGGTTACTGATGTTGAGGGAGATGCTGAAGATAGAGGCGAGAGCACCGGTGCCGTGTTGGACACAGTGGAGTCGGAAACCCTGCCCGAATGTTTGATGTCCGAGTGGCTCGAGACGTGTGCGAGCCGAGAAGAAGCTGCGTTGGAGTTTGTACGGCTGGTGTTGATGCGCAATGAGGGGGGCCCGGTGTGGTTATTGATGTCGGATAGAGACGAGGTGCGACTGGCCAGTGAGGGTCGGCGGGGGTAAGACGATGATGAGGGGTTGCTAGTGATGGGTATCGACGAGGAGACGGCGGTGTGGTAATTGCTGCGATGGTGTAGGTAATGCTGGTCCAGCAGGTCGTCGTCGTCGTCCTCGGTGATTGTCGGGGAGTAGTCGCGGGGTCCGGTGGCTCCGGGGTTGGCGTTGCTGTTGCTGTTGCTGTTGCTACTGCTGCCGCCGTGTTCGATGCTGGCGAGCGAATTGGCGTAGGACAGGGGCGGTGTCGAGGTGCGCGGCGTCTGCTGGAAGGGATGGACGAAGCTGCCGCCGTTGCGGTGGCCGCTGCCGCTGGTCGCTACACTGACGTGGGAGGTGCCACTGGTCGAGCGAGCGTGCGAGAAGTTGCTCCTTCCGTTTCCGATGCTGCTGCTGTGGCTGAGTTCTGTCGCCGAAATACTGAAGCTGACGTCCCTTCCCCCGAAAGACCCTTCCCTCTCTCTTCCTAGACTTCCACCATAATGCCCAAACGTTGTCTGCTGCTCATCCCACCCTCGATCAAGGTCCAGAGAGTTCTTTTCCGAATGCGACAGCTTTTTCAATATCGGCTTCACCACCGGCTTGCTTCGCGTCTTGGAGAGCTTCCCTGAGCTCGCCGCGCCCGTTATATCCGTATATGAAGCCATCGTTGGTTGACGTCCCCCACACGAGCCGCGAGCCGCGCTACAAACGTTGCACTCTGGGATGGGTTTCTTTCTCCTTTTGTTTTTCTTCTTCTTTTTTTCTCTTTCTGCTCTTCTCTCCTCGTTTTCACGCCCAACTACCACTGTGCGGACGGCGTCCTGCTCGTTTCGATTGCAGTCGTGTGCTGTCGACTTTGCACTTGTCGGTTCCCAAGCGGGGGTTGTCCAAGTGGTGATGGTGATGGCAGGCTGCCAGACCAAGAAGCTGCCTCCACCATGCAGGCCGAGGCCGCAGACCGCACCCCAGTCTCAGAGACGCCTCTCTTACAGCGATTATGACCACCGGGCACGATGCATGGATCGAGGCAATGGAGGTGCGAAACAACGACGAAGGCGGCGGCAGTGATGGGTTCGATGCTGGAAACGACGACTAGCAACGCGTGTGTATGTGTACTTATGTGTGCATGTGTTTGTGTGTACGGTTGTGCTCGTGGTAGTGACAGTGAGCCGGCTTTAAACCCACAAGGACGGACAAGCGGCGGTCATGTCATTCAACATACGGTGAGAGTTGGACCCAGGCGGGAGGGGGGAGCGAGATGAGCGGCGCCGGGGTTGTTATCTAATGGGCGAGGCGAAAGGTGGGAGCGACAGGCTGACTGACGCAGCGGAATGGGCGGAGTCCCTAGGCCGATGCGATGGGATGGGATGGGATGGGAAAGGATGGGCGACGGGGGGAGAGCGTGTGGCTGCCGTCTGGGCATGCCTCACCTTTTCGTTTTCAGCACACACTGCCCACCGCTACACCGATTCAGTAGCAGCTGGCTCGACCCGAGTGCGAAAGACGTAAGTCAGCTCAGCTGCACCGTCGTCTCCCACTCGAGCTGTCGCTGTCGCTGTTGCCGTTGGTATTGGTGTTGCTACTTGGTCGTGCTGCAAATGGTAATGCCCCCAGCAATGGACGACGACTTTGACCGACCCCGGCAGAGAAACAAGGTGTGAGGGAGGGGAGGGAAAACGAGAACGGGGGGGAAACGAGAAACAAGACACCACCCACCACCCACCCCCCTAAGCAGTTGCACAAGGGCCACCGTCCACCGGCCGCTTCGGCAACAGAACAGGCCACCGCCAAAGTGCGCCGAGTATCCGCAACCCGCTTGGCCACGCCTGGTTCAGCCTCGTTCCTTTCTCAACTGGCATGGAGCACGTGGGGGAACCAAGAAGATGCGCCCGGATCGAGGACATCGAGCAAGACGGGTAAGACTTTGACCGAGAAGAAGGAGGGGTAACCTTTCTAAAGCGGGAGCAATGGCGTGGCGTCGTTTGGGGCCTCTAGGCGGCTGGCTTTTAAGGTTGCAGTCTCTCAGGGCAAGCCCAGACGGCTTGGTGTTCCAGAGGTTGCTTCCGGCGTGTTTGGTCCAAAGAATCCAAACGAATACTTTTTTTCTTCCCTCGCTCAAATGCTGCTGGGGCGACTAGGTTGGGTTTGTTTACACTACGACAAGGTAATAGTGTTTTGTTGATGCTGCGCCTTTTTCCCAAGGGTATGTCCTCCACCACCCAGGAGGTACCAGTGAATTGAGTGGAAAGGCGGGCTCATGGACCTCAGGTGACCGAATGAGAAGCCCAAAGACTCGGGGCGGAAGACTGGAGAAACCAAGACTAACGAAAAAATATCTGGGTCTTGCTCCGGGGGGAGGGGGGAGCGGGGGCAGACGGGGATTCGACGTCGCGCCGACGGCAAAGAAGGAAGCAGGGCAAAACAAAACTGTGCAAGCTATGAAAGGAAGGGGACTTTGTCGGTTCAGTGTATCCGTATCCGTAGGGACTACGCGACCACGAGCAGCGATGCAAGTCGTGGTGGGGGCTGGTTATCCAGAGTCACCACAACAAGCATTGGCATTGGCATGGGCTGCCTCTATCGATGACCTGCTTGACGCCGCATGCCGAGCGCAGTCGCGCAAGAGAGCATGACCTACATACACCAACAAGCCTATCCGCCCAGTATCCGGACGTGCCGCACACAGGCACACAGGCATACGCGCGCGTGCGGTCGAGGGGCGCAGACGCGGATGCAGACGCAAGCACAGTACTCCGTACGGAGTACTGCGTCTGGCAATCCCACGTTACCCTACGACATTGTCAGGCCAAGGCCGAAGCAGCAATGGAACAGTAGCAGTCCCAAAACTCCAGAGAGAGGAAGACGGTCTGAGACTGAGCGGAACGACTTGGGATGGACGCGGCTTGATCAACATTGGCAGCACCCAGTACGGATACACTGCCCGAACGGCTTCCTGCGCACACAGGCATAACCTTACACAAAGACTTTGGGAGACACAAGACGGTTGGCAGGCCATCCCCTTCTCGGACTGCCCTGCTTCGGTTCAGTCTCATCTATAAAAAAAAAAAAAAACACACACGGCGGCTCGCCGATGATCATTTCCAACTCGCCATGGCGGATTCAGAAGGAGATAGAAAAGTTTTCCGTCCAAGATTCTGTTTGCGGATGTCAGGTACCAGAAACTCCTCATCGGCTGTCACCGTCAAAGGGGACAAAAGAAGTCATGGAGAGAGAAAACGCAAACTAACAAAACACAGTCCGTCTGGGGGACATAACTTGACCCCATCGCTGTCGAATTGAAACAGCTGCATCGAGCTAAAAAAGCCTGTGGTCTGCCAATAGGAACCCACCAAACCTGCCCCGGTTCTCATTCCCAACCACCCCATGTGTCTACTACCCACTCACCGTCTGCGGCCCATTCCTAGGCGGGCTCATGGTTCACGGGATGTCGTCTCCATGAGAACGAGAACGATGAGGACGAGAAGCAAAGCCCGTCGATGGGGAGAGGGAGAGCAACACATTCGGTCCTGTCACACCGACCTTGGTAATAAACCCCGAAAGAGAATGAGGTTCCGCTCCGAAGAATCCCAAGCGCACCACCCACCACCCACGATCCTGCATCCTTTGACGAGACGCTTAACTTTCCCCCAATCACCGTCGTCAAATGCCTCACTGCGTCAGGAAGAAGCTCGCTCCGCCTGCTTATTTTGTCTGCCTAATCCTCTCACCACCAGACAGACAGACTTTGGCAGAAAGTCAAACTGCCTGCTGGAGAGCCATTCCTCTCGTGGAGCCTTAACCTGATCTTTCTTCGCACTCGATACCATGCCGATTGCCAAGCATAATTTTCCCATCATGGCAAACCGGAGACATCGGCGAAATGCGTCGTCGTCGTCGTCGTTGTCGTCATCGCCAGGTCATGCAAATGGCCTTGGCCATGGTTTATCCAGGTAATAATGTTCTTACCCGTCAACACATGCATCTGTCGCCACAACAAGACCAACATATTCCTGCTTTGCATCTCCCTCACTCTCTCTCTCTCTCTCTCTCTCTCTCTCTCTCTCTCTCTGCTATGACAGGCGGTTCCCCCGCACCGTGCTAAGCTGTACTCTCGTGAATCAAGCGAATCAAGTCCCTCGGTCAGCTCGGCAAGGTGAGGTTACAGGAAGCCCAGCCCGCCACAGCAACGTACCACCACCAACCACAACCCATCATCCTGCTCCGACTCTGTGGCCCGCCCGCCTACCCCGCCACCAATAATACACCTTGCAGATTCAGGCCCGGATCCTGAGCCAGATAATTACAAAAGCTGGCACTCCAGGTCTCTGTGCACGACAAGAAGCATCATCGATTCCGATGTGGCTTCGGCCATTGGCAACGCTTATCAGTGTCATCACTGCGCCGCATTCAAGGGCGACGGGTCACTTGGTCACTCGAACACGTGCTCCAGATCAGCCAGCCAACCAACAGACGAGAGACACTTAAACTAACATAACATGCCAGCCCCCGCAATTCCAACTCTCACTACTCTGCTCGCCTTGCCCGCCCGCCCCAAACCACTGCCAAGCCTATCCCACTTTGCTCTGATGCGAGCTCTCTTCCCGACTTTTTGTCCTTCTGAACCTAATCTGGATTGCATCTCGACTCATGTGTCGACCACTGCACAGATGTTGCGGCCAGCCAACGCAGGGCTCCTGCAACCCCGGATTCAGGGTGGTCAGGACCGGCCGACGCCACTGATATGGCCAGCTTCTCTGGCGCGTCGGCATCCCCTTCCATCCTGCCTTTGCCAAAGCGAACGGTCTCCGATCCTGGTCAAGCTGAAAATGGCCGTTGCAACGGCCGCCGATAGCACTTTTCTTGCACGGCCGCCCAGCAGTGGCATCCTGCAAACACGGCCACAAAGAGCTACAAACGCCGAAGACCTTGGGCCTCGTGACAGTTTTGGCTCCCCATGCGGCTTGCCAAGTCCACACCCCATTCCTCCCCTCTTGAGCAAACGCTTTTTTCTGGTTAATATCCGTACGTCAGTGCATGTACACACGGGTACTATTGTCTGCGCGCAGCGAAGATGACACCCAGAAATAGCCCAACCCAGTCCATGTTCTGGAGGGAACCACTTCCCAAATCCGGTCCCGTGTCCCTTGCCTCCGTCTCTCCTTCCATCCCCGACGTCCATCACATTAGTCCCCGCCCCGGCACACCCCGTGGTGGGCCGTCCCGGCCTCTACTTTCCGTCCATCGTGCGTCGAGCATCGGATCGACAATGCCTTTTCTGATGGCTATCTCGAACCGTGGAAGGCTCGTCGGGGAACAGTCCAAGATCTGCGACAGGAATGACACTTGGACCTCCGGCCATTGGATGAAGGGTGTGAGTGGGCCAAGAAGCGCATAGGTGGTGGGCTGGTGGCCCTGCCACAAATACCAGAAACACGTCCGCCTTAGCTCATGGGCCATGATCTTGATCGACCCGAAGCCATGGGATGCTCCTTGCTTTCCTAGTCTGGTGTCGCAGTCGATCCCGCCGGCAGACTGACGACACGAGGTCGCCAGCCGTGTGGTGGATATCAGAGGCCCCTGACGATCCGAGTCCCTTAAGGCTTGGTTATGAGCAGGACTGGCTGTTCGCCTCGTGTAGGTCGACTTTGGGCGGAACATATCCTCTCACCCGACGGTGTGATGGCTCGTCAGCTGGTCCATGATGGAAGTCTATTTCTCACTTGCTTGTGATGCCATGCAACCCGGCCAGATGAGGGGAGGTTCAATATGACACCGGACACGGCTCTCCCGGTATTCATAGCTTTTTTTACCATTTTGCTCGTTTTGAAACGTGACATCGTTTGATTCATATGCCTTTATCTCACATATGCAGACGATGCCAAATAAACCCCGGGCAATGCTATGCTATGCTATGCACCACGCCCAGACTCGGCCGCCAATCCGGCAGTCAGAGCTGGGGCATACGGCACCGATATCAGCCTGCCACCACGCCGGTGCTGTTTTACGGCGGTTTCGAAACACATAACCGGCGGGGCGACTAGGCCATGGTAACCTTGCATGTCTAATGCAATGCCGGTCACGGCATTACTCATGCTCTTGTAAGTACTAAGAGCACTGTTTACATGCATCGCAGAATGGGCGGTTCTCGACCCGAATAACACGACTCTGACGGTGGCTCGCAGATACGCTCCGGAACGCGGTGGTTGCTACAGGAAAAGGACCATGCGAGTTATTCACGTCGCGTCAACCGGCAAAGATGGACGGCCTGCTACTCCTTCCAAGAGGTGCTGGACTAGTTCACTGCCCTGGCTTGATATGATGTGCTCCCGATATTGAAGTCTTCCGGCCCGTGGTGTTCTCGCGCCGGCCGTTTGGGACTATGAAGGTTAAAGTCTCATGGACAAAGACGAGGGCTGGGCCCTCTTGCAACCTTCGGGGCAAATGGCATGGAGCCATGCGGTACTGGTCCAACGTCTTTTTTGTGCTACGAGTGTAGTCTCCTTCCGCCTAGCCGCATATGATGGTGGCCTTGCCCTCCCCAGCTGCGCCTTGGAAAGAAGGCCGTTCCTTGTCTCGGATGTCAAAGACTATTCTGTCTTCCACTGGGACTATCCCGCCATGTACCAGATGTGACTCGCGGGTATTGTGCCGCCGCAGTCGACGACGACGACGACAAAGGGCCCTTCTTCGTAGCCGTATTCTCGTGTCTTGAAGAAGCTTGGTAGCATGCATTTACGACGTAATGAACATTCAAACCAGAAGACTAACAAGCCGCTCAGTTTTATTCAATTACAGGGGCAGCACAACCCTCCGTTCGCGGCGCTTTCCTTCGCCGGGCCGGGCACCGAAGCTTTAATATTCAGACGCCTTACGGGCCGCCGGAACGGCTCTCGATACGCGTCACCGCCGTCTCCCTATATCACCATGCCCCCCTTCCTCGGGACTCGTATGGATTCAGTAACAACGCGAGCCTTTCCTGCCTGTCCGTAAACAAGTGGCGTCATTTCCTTCCATTTCCTATCCCTCATTTGCAATCCCAGAGAGCATTTGGTAGATATCCAATCCGTCTCTGACTGCTTGCTCAACCCCAGAGTAGCCAACCCCGGCACGCAGCTGCTGGAGGACGGTTGCCGTCATATGCTTGTGACATAACCGCGCGCGAGGGAGACCAGCGTAAAGAAGAGACGGGCACGCGCAGAGAGGGGAATGGACGAGACACTTTCGACTCTGGACGAGGGCCAGTTGGGACGGACCACCACACGCTTCCCCTTTTTCATCGCTCTTGCCACGATGACAGTCGGGGCTTTTACGGTGCTACGTGGTTCTGCATGTAATCTTTCTAGACGTCTTGAAGAGGGGCAGGGCACCCGCTTGCGCCTCAACGTAGTATCTCGGAGTTTGGCCTCTCGTTTGACCAAGCGGCAGCGAACATGTAAAAAAGACGGCAGCCCGTCATGATATACTTCGTGTAGGCCAATGCTGTTTCGCTTCGTTCCCGACGAGGAGGGATTGTATCCTCACGACAAAGGATATTCGCCGTCGTCATCGCTCTCACTGCCAAGCACTTGCTTGAGGGGCTCCCCCCCCCCCCCCCCCCCCCCCCCCCCCCCTCTTCCCCGTGCACTCGTCCTCGACCTTGCTTGTGCTCCTTGATTCTGGTCCTGATTTTCAGCTGCTGTTGTTCAAGGACGAGCCACGACAAAGGGCGCAATTGACTCTGTTCCAGTAATCATCCCCTGGGTCCTTTCTAGACGTACCAAGCAAGCACTGACGAGCTTTCCAGAACAACGATCTGTTCATGTGAGGTTGCCTCGGCAGCACGCCCGAACAGATATCCCGGATTCCAGTGGATACCTCCGTACCAAGCCAAAGACCTGAGCGCGGCTAACTGCATCGGATCGCTTACACCGTTGCCGCTCCGGGGTTCGAGGGCCACGAGGAGCCGCAAGCCGCGAACTGGCTCGGGTCACATCTTCCCCTATCCCAACATCATCTCGGCTATCGGCTGCGATGGAACGCTTCCGTAGCTGACCTGTATCACATATGGGAATAGTGACGTGTATCAAACTGCCGCAACCTCGGCCTCGGATCAAGATCGCCACCTTGTGTCTTGTCCATCTCATCGCAGCAAAGCTACCTCACGGTGCCTGCCGGCGCCGTGCTGGTGCCGATCGCTCACCAAAATGTCGCCGGCGCTACCACGTTCCGCATTTCCTCTATTGTTCCACCTCATACGCTCGAGGGACAGTCTCGGCTGTAAGCCAGACACAATTCGTGGACACTGGTCCTCGGGTCGCTCTTCAACGTGTAACCAGGCAGAACTTATTGCCTCATCAAAATATTCAACGACGTTGCGTTTTGTGAGAACCAAACGCACTTGCGGCTCTCTGGTCGTACTTCGGTTTGTTATTACCTCACTCCCTTCTCACTTGACGTTGAGGACGCGCAGTATCGGCTGGCTGTCGTCTGTTGCACGTCTGCTATTGCCCGCCACTGGGCACTTGCACCGTACTTGGCCTCGAAAGAACATTGCGGCATTCATTCCTCAAATTATTCGGCCTTCCAGCCGCCCAAAGAGATGCGTCTGCAGGGTCTGCTCAGGTCGCCAGGGGCAGCCAGCCAATCTTCGGCAACAGGTTTGCTCCAGCAAGTCCATCTCATACCAGGAATGTGCTTGCGAGGACGCCCCGTGGAGACGGAACACATGGCCACTTGCTAGTGTCCCTTTCCATGCGGGCGATGGTCACGGCCACCTACTCGACGTGAAGAGAGTACCTACGAGGTAGTATTCAAGTATTCTCGCGCCGAGTCCGCAGATCTAGATTCTTCTCCGGAGTCCACGATATGCCACCTGCTCCCCCACGCCCGATAGGGCAAGGACGTCGAGATTTCGAGGACGATTGACCGAAGCCTTCGCCAGTAACCATCGTCAGCGCCAGTATCGGTTGCGGGGAAAGTGGCGAGTGTGGAAATGTCCTACGATGATCATGAAGGTAATCCCGAGGCGAACAGGGCTCAAGATAGCGTGAAGAATCCAAGTTAGGAAAATGAAGGGCGGCGGGTCACTTGACCATCACGCCCATGCCTTCGGAGGAGCCTACTGGGTACCCGCCTATCCTGCCGTACCTTCGAGACCCGAATCAGTCAGGCCCCATGACTGTCAATCTCTCGGGTTGCAGGAGATGGACCGCGGTATAGCTCGAGGCGAACTCTTCGAAGTACGTCCAATCAGTTTCGAAAGGTAAAAGGAGAGTCCCATCAGAGAGGCTTGACTCACTTGATGCAAATACAGTCCGCCTCTAAGCATATCAACTGGAGCCGTATCAGAGCTGCACTGTAACTCATGTCGCCACTGGTAGTTGATGGTTCATTTTGGGCGTGTTCTTGCCGCCTTGTGAAGCGTCTTGGTGAGATCCGGCTCAGGAATCATGACGCAGGCTTGCGGGATGGTAGACAGGAAGGTTGTATACAAACACAGCCTTAGGAACAGTCGTCCGATCGACCTCGACAAGCATGCCGGATGATGGCATGAAGGTCACCCTGCATGGCGTCGAGTGCGCCTCTGAGGCCGAGTGCTTCCGGTGCCAGCCAAAAACCATGTCTTGTTGATGGATCGTCGATTTTCCCCAGTTAACAGAACCTTTTGCATTTGTGCGAGGGTTTGGCCCTCGGTGTCGTACCGCTGTATGTGCATCACCAGCAGAGACCGATTCTCGGCCGCACCAATACCTCCCCCCTCCCTCTCTCTCTCTCTCGGAAGCGTACCTGCCTCTACTGGCCCAGGGATACTGAGTGTATTCCGTGGAAAACTTTCAGAGACCGCTGGGAAACGTCCGGAACTGGAGGCAAAGACGATAGCTCATATTCATGATTGCCAAATGGATGATGTCGCATCGACCCTTGGTCCTTGTGCCCTGCGGGACATGCATTAGACATTGGACAACTCATAAACGCTTCGAATATGCACCTTGTGCGTTCTGGAGCAGCAACAACTGAGTTCACCATGACAAAGCGGTGGTGGAACAGAAAGGAATTACTTACATAGTACAGGAGTATTTTCTTGGCCACTGCGTGCCTACGCAGCGTCTGTGTGGCTCGCCAGGCACGGTTGGTCCTGCAATAGCAGTATTTTATCCCAATAGCAGAACGGGACTGCATGAGACTGGGAGGAGTGATGCACATCATCCAAGATCAACCACTCCGGAAAGTGCAGCCTGCTTCCCCGGGACACACTTCCCGCACATTTCCACCCTGACCACCATGCGCTGTCATCAGGGCCTGGATCCATCGTAGGCCGCATGGGTGCATAGCCCGTCCGAATGGGGAAGTGAGGCCTGTCCGGCTTCCCGCGAGAACGATGCTGTGAGCGCGCTTTGCGGCACCCAAGAAACTGGGGCCTGACGTAGGATGACGGACAAAACGGTGCAATGGATTCACATATGCCGCGGGGGTCAGAAGGACTGGGCAGAGATGGCGGTGGTCGTTGCATAACAAAGCTGTGAGATATCAAAGCAGGGCGAGTACGAGGAGTGCATGACTCTAGCTTTTGGCTGTCGAAGGAGTGTCCGGAATGACCGCGCTTCACGGTCATTAATAGCAAATCCGAGCCGCCATCTACTCAACTATTTGAAATAGAGAGCCGGTGCCGAAATTATATCAAAGTCAGTGCTTGTGAAGCTCGCGGAAGTGACTCTTCTTTAGATGCTACTCTTCAACGAGGATACTATCACAGGTATCCGGTAGACTGGAAGCGGCTGGAGCGTCTCTTGACGAGGAGGGGAGGGGGGGTGGCGGCGTTCTAGGCTCTTTGCTCTCGCTTCTTGGCCTTGGTGCTGGCGAATGCCGGCCTGCAGCGCGTCGGGTCTGCCGGCGCAATTTGCCCGCAGTTCCGACGTTGGCCCCCGAAACGGTTGGCTATGCAGTCTGTATCAGCGATAAGCGGCCTGGCAATCAGGTAGATTACACTGCATCGTGCAGGGACCTGACACTCTGGAGTCGACGAGCAGCTGAGATATGAGGAGGAGCTCATGGTAGCACTGTCTATGTCTTCCTTTGGTGTTGGTCGCATCAGATCACGATCTGTTCAAACCACAGGGTGCCCTCGGGCCCCATGAACCATTGCACAAAGCCCAGGGGTTGGCTCGTGCGAAGACTTGATCGGTTCGTACTGTGGCTGAGGGGCTGGTACGAGAAGGCCGTCAGCATCGTAAGAATGTACGAGTATACATGTGGAACTAGGGTGGCATTTCACCTGCAACTAACTATACCACCCACTCTTGACAGATCACAATGTGACAGAAGGCTGTCTCGTCTGAGTACAGAATGGGGTCGCTAGGCAATAATAGTGTGCATATTTCATGCCGCAATCCCATGCAGAGTTTTCCAAGTGGGCTCAAGCTTCATTGTTTGCCCTGTCTCTCTCTTTCTCTCTCTCTCTGTCTCCTTCTTTCCAGCGTGCCAGAGTATGATGTGGGTGCAGGCAAGGCAGTGGGCCCCCAAGAAACATCCGACGGAACAGATCAAGTAGTGAGCGTATGTCACCTCCATCCACCATGTAACATCCACCATCAAATCCCGAAGTGGGCTTGTACGGCTCAAAACTTGATTGTTCACAAAGCTTGCTCTCACAGCAAGAGTGCATAGCACCATGCATAATGTGACTTTGCTGTATGTGTGGGTTTATCAAGTAGAGAACTTCGGTGAGAATTGACTGTAGTTGCAAAGTGTTCGCTGGGTAGAAGGCTCTTAAAACGCCCCAACTGGCAACGCTCAAAGTCTACTCCGTGCTCGAGGCCCGTGTGTCATCCGAACGACAGCCGTGTCATTCTTCAAGCACTCCCGGAGAAGTGCATGGGTTGTGTCCGAAGAAGCTAAAGCAGTCTGGGGAGATCCCTGGCTGTCTGCCCCAGAGTATCAGTCGCGATTTGCGCCCTAAATAGACAAGCGAAAGAGATGATTTTCTGCCACAGGCATAGCGTCTTCACAAATCTCGAACCCTGATAAATTGGCAGCATGCATGGGATCCGATAATGGTGTACATCACATACCACGCAAGGACCACTGCAGCCTAACCGTTGCCCTTTCGTACATGGCGCCAACACACGTCTCGAAGAATGGCGAGGTGATGCCACATGTACTGTTCCGCGATCATTGTGGTCTAGCAAGGGAAGAAAGAATAGGTGGCCTGGTGAACCAGACCAAGAGCAGAGAGTCGACTCTGTTATGGGCTGAATCTTGTATAGCATCAAGCATGTCCGTTGGGAGGAAAGATAGCGGGGCTGGGTGGGCGAGTGGGCGGTTGGAGAGGGCTGAATGCATGTAGGTATTGATGTAGGTATCCCTCGTTGTTCACAAACCTGTCGCATGCCTCAACAACGGAGGTCTCGCTACGGCTCGGTCTTGAGGTGTGCGGAGCGCGGGAACGTGGGTGAGGAGCGTGTCCTGCGACCAGCCAGAGTAGCGTGTTGCTCATAGTTGCGCGGAGGGCCATGACTCGTTGTAGCCACTGAGCTCCGAGTTGTTTACTTGGTGGATTTCTTTTGTGTCAAGTTATGTACTGTTGAGCGAACTGGGCCGGCGGCAACCTGCTGCATTATGGGTCATCTCCTGCTGTGATAAGAGCCATTACATCCGTAATTTGTTGGATATCAAGCGACGCGGGCATTCGTCTAGAGCAACACTGCAGCCGTGACTACTAGGTACGGGCAATCGGCAAGTGCCTGCACCGCCACGCACATTCGCCCTAGGCTGCTTGGTTGAGAGGAAGACGATGGAAGGACGTAATTTCGGGCATTACTTCGGGTTTATTCGTCCTCCTGAAATGCAGTCAAGGGGTGTAGAGGGCCATGGTTGTGGTAGCGCTGTCGCTGGCGCTAGACGTCTTGCATGGTGTCATAACAGAGGCCGAGGTTTTGCGTCCATTGGCCCGGTAGAGTCCATTGCATAGACGGTTGCTGAGAGGACAACGCCGGAAGGGAGCGCGAGCCGTCGATAGAACCACAGACATTGGATGCCGGAATGCAGCTTGGAAAATGGTGGATTCAAATGCCAGCTAAGGCGTTTTGGTAGCCAAATAGCATCGTACCGGTGCGTGCGGCGAGCCAAAGAAACTGCGGTGCAATGCCAAGCTAACGTTGAAGTTCCCTGCGACGGTGATCTGTTGTGAGCTTTAGCAGGTTCCCAATGGGGCCAGATGCAGCGCACCCTGCCCTTACCCCACGCTGGTTGGTGGTGAATGTCGGATGGACGTAATCTTTGCGAGCAAAGCACATCAAGGTACTTTGTTAGCACACGCCCAAGCAAGCCAGCCGTCGGCAGCCCAAGGCAAGGACGGAGTATGCTACTTCGGAATGGCCGTAATTGTCGAGTGAAGAGAAAGACGCGTTGTGGCATGGCATTATCGACGCAAGCAGGCAAGCCATGGTTCTCAACGATGCATCTATGTTCCGTGGTGTGGAGTATTGTCGCATCACCCGTGTTCCGCAACGTGAAGCGGGCATTTAGCTGACAAGCATTCGTCAAAGATGGCTTAGCTCACCGACGACAGTTGGGACACTCCGGGGTTGTTCTGTTCCGAGGACTATGCCGACGAACGGCGTATGTGGCCCTCACGTTCCATTGCGTACGGGAGAAGTGGCCGAGGCAGGGCAAGATCTAGACACTGGGCTGGCAACCAGATGCCGGAAATTCAAGTTAAGCTGCGAGGTTGAGGACACCCTTGTCCCATACGTCTACCGGTACATCTCGGGAGGACGTGATCGAATGCGTCTTTTGAGATGCCGGCATAGGTAGGTCGGTAGATGTGGATGGAATAGTTGGCAACTGACGCGGACGGAATTTGGCGTTGAGAGAAGGCGAAGCGGCCAGGAACTTGAGGGCCAGCAAGAAGTAAGCGAGGTGGCTGACGAAGATGTAGACAGCCAGCTCGTGATGAGATGAAGTGCTGTTGATGGGAGAAGGTAGAGGCGGGAATGGAAGACGTAATCGACGGGGTTCATAGCAGGCTGCGGAAGACTGGAGAGAATGGCAAAGAAGGAACGGGCTGTCGGTGGATCGGATCAGGTAAAACAAAGGTGAGAGGCAAGTTGAAGAATACTGCCTACTTAGCTTTGATCGCAAATGTAAGGGGAAAGTGTGAGGTAATGCGTACTTTCCCTTGAAATCTCCAGGTTGCTGGTGGAGGCGAGCGATGGATGGGCTGGGCGAGGAAGAGCGCACACGCGTGTGTGCAAACAAACCCATACACACACCCTTCCGCGCCACACAACCATCATCTAGCCTCATGCCCTCCATCACATCACCGGGTTTTCTCAAGACGACCGACTTGCCCTGCCGAGTCAACTACCAACTTGCCTCACGTCACATTCGGCCATGTTTCGTCCAAGCCTAGTCAACGAATCAGTTGACGCCAAGGCAAGCAAGCTCTTCTCGCCCTCTATCTCATGCTAAAATAGGTGGATCGAGACATGATCCGGCAGGTGTCGCTCCAATGAGGCAGCCACATCAACTGGGTGTTCTATTGTCATGAAGTGGTGCACCAGTCACAGGGATAGCACCTTTTTTCTCAAAAGTCATGAAATAAAAATACCCTCACCCGTGGTTCCGAAGGGGCATGCTAATGTCGATACTAGATCAACCCTAACCATCCGTCCTGATGGAATGACTCTCCGTCGCTCCGTATCTACCCCCCCCCAACCACGGCTTGAGATCGACCTGGCCAAGGTGTTGACATTTCCATCGATTCATGTGCCACTCGGATTGCCTTTTCTAAACCCGGACACCAAAATCGTCCGGCATCTGATCATACCACGTACCCTACACTGCGAGATGCACCACCTACAGAACCGCTTCGCGCACCCGAATGTGGTAGCCCGCGGTTCCGATCCGATCCCCCCATCAGTCCCGTACAATATTCCGTTACGAATACCCATCTTCTCTAGGAAAAAGGTACGACGTCTTCCCGTCCAGATACGGCAAGGCGCCGTCCTGTCTTCTTCGGCTCGTGTTCAATCGAGATCATGACAGGCCTACAGCGTCCCCGTCCCGTCGTTCCACACTACACCAAATCCATCCATCCACATCCTGCATCGTCCTGGCCGGCCCCTAGAAACACCACGCAAGTGCTTTCTGATGTCAGGCCCAGGACTGTTTGGGATGGATTGATCGCCATCTTACGCAAGTGTAGACAGTTCGCACACACACACACCCACACACTTGAATAAACCTCTTTTCCTTCTCAGGTTGATGGCTTCATGGCTTGCAGCCTGCAGAACGGCCCAGCTGGATGTGGTCACTTGGCGGGAGGTGCGGAAATAGGGGAAGGACCCCGAGATAACGGCCAACACAAGCCAGACGCAGCAACACATACTGGTTGCATCCTGGCGTCTCTTTGTTCATTCTGCTCGTAAAACAGCCTTCGTATGCTACATAACTCCCATGCTTCACGCATTGGATTCCCGGATGTGCTGCGTGCTCGCTCTCGGCCGGCACGGGAGGAGTCATGGATGGGTGTGCCCCCAAGAGTCTGTGCATCCCACCCGGCTCGGTATTTGGCGAGAAGCGACCTCGGACACCTGGAGTAAAGACGGGACGCGGACGGCGGGCTTGATGATTGATGGGGACCATCTACGTAATCCCCACCCCCTAGCGCTCGCTCCGCAACTCAGCGGCGTCCTGCTGCAAAAGACAACGGCAGCATGGGGCCTGAGTGGTCCTTCGCTTGTTCGCACTGGACAATTCATTCAACCCCAACGAAGGCGATCTACTCCGTACAGGCCATGGGAAATATTCGCGCCTCCTTGTGAGGACTAACGGCGGGGCCGTAATCATCACGAAAATGGAATCCGCACCGGCCAAGTTGGGTAAGGATCAGAAGCAGTACGGACCGTCAACCCTGTCGGGCCAGTCGTCGCAATATGGCAGGTCAGACTGAATAATGCAAGTGCAGAGGCGACACCACTGCGTCTGTCACTCCTCTGTCCATACGGCTCATCAGATATCAGAATCGCCCGGGCATACAATGGTGCTCCGAGCAGCAGTAGCCAAGCAGCCTGGCGTCACCCATCGTTCAGGCGTGCTGCGTTCACGCACACATACACACCCTCCTTGTCGTGCTGTTGACCACCAATGGACGAGTGAAGAAGATGGGAAGGCAGGCCGGAGAGGGACTAGGAAAGAGGCAGACAGAGACGAGTGAGCGATATGCTCGAAGGATCCGTCGAGGGACCTGCAGGTCCGAAAGATAAGTTGTGCTCCGTATTATTCACGAAACCCCTCAGCAAACGGCAGAACCAGAGCAACAAAAACCGTAGCATCCGCAGCCAGAGCTGACCCTCTTCTAGCCTGGCTGCGTATGCTTGTCCAAGTCTGGTCTGGTCTCTGCTTGATAATGGGTCAGGCAAAGGACGAGTCCCCATAATAAGCAGCATGAATGCTTGTTCATCCGCTCGATTCGACTCCACGCCGGCCGTCCGTTTGTTAGATGGGAAAACCGGGGACTTAGTTGACAACGGCCCAGGCCATGCCAGGCAGGATCTCTCGTCCGTTAGTGGGCGTCGACTGCGCCGACTCTTTTTCTTCGTTCTTTTTTCGTCCTCCGTACCTAGCGGCTAGAGGCAGCTCTTCTCCAATTTAACAGGACTCTACCCCTCCTGGGTTTGCGAGAGCCTGCGGCCAAGGTACCACTCCCTCCCTTGTCATTGCTGTTGCTGATTAGACCTGCTGCTGTCAACCCCCATCTTCTTGCCTCCTGTTTGGTTTCGTCTCTCATGCTTTCGCTGCCTTGGAGACAATCTCGAATTCGCCGGGCCGTCCAATCGACCTCGCCTGGACTGTTCCCGCCAAGCTAGCCCTTGTCGCCCTCTCTCGGCTGCGACTCTCCAAGGCAAGACCATTGACGGAAAGGCTCTGCTCCTGGTCCTTGTCGCTTAGCAGCTCCTCAAGGACCTGCCTCCGATTCTCCCCACCTTTTGTCTCTGGATGTGCAGATACCCGGTCGTACTCAAACGAATGATGGAATCTGCCCACCCCAAGCAGTGGACCTTCAAATCTCACCGTGCTGCCGTTTTCCACATCAACTAGCCGCTTAACCATGGAGAATGGAGAAGGTTGACCAACCAAGGCAAAAAGACCCTCCCTGGTGCACGCAGGGTATGGCGTTATTCGCGCGCTACACTAGGCTCTTGCAAGTATTACCCATCCAACGAAAAGGACGGGGAAAAGGTGCTAGCCTCTCTCGTCGCTTTTCGTCGCCTCTCAGGGTTGTGCTTCTTCTCCTCCCCCCTTTCTCTGCGCTGTGCTCCGAGCCGCGCCCTCAGAAATCCAGCCTCCGCAGGCTGCGGTCGCTTCTTTCCCCTCCCCACCAGGCCGACTCCGCCTTGTGATTCGCCTTTCTCCATTCGCCGTCCATAGCGCAATGGGGCCAAGAAGAGAAAGAAGGGGCAGAGAGCAGGGACCGGTATCCGTATCTCCAGCCGCCTCCGACTGACTGCTTATGTGCTGTCGTGTCGTTTCGGTTCAAGGGTCGAGGTTCGAGGGACCTTGACTATCGTGGTCCATGGTCCGAGGTCCGGCCAGTGTTCCATGGTTGACTCCAGGCCCGAACCAAGAAAGTTGGTGGCGTGAAGGAGAAATCAAGGTAGAGGAGCCCTCTAGCCTGTTTATTTTCTATTGCCTCCGTTGAGGGCGTGCCGACGACCGCGAACATATAGGACAAATGGGAGACGATGCGGCAAGATGTGATGCGAGGACATATCGCGGCGCTAGTCGTCGCAAGTGCTGATGCCAGGTCGATGAGATGCGTCTACGGGAGACGCTGATTGATCTGTCTATCCATAGCAGACTATCTCTATCTGGCTGCTTGCTAAAGAAGCGTCGTCCCAACACGGAGCCACAAAAACGCCAGCCTCTGGATCCCATCCACACCCACCTCAGCCCATGTCTAGCCGGTCGTCAATCCAGCCCGTCTTTAGAGACAAGAGGCAGCAGACGCAGACGCAACGGCGGCGGCAGACGCAGCCTGGGAGCCACAGGCAACAGGCAAGCAGAGGCGGGCAGGGTGGGCAACGCAGCAAAGAGTGGGCGAGAAGGACTGCGAGAGAAAGGTACTTGTAGCAAGCCGGTGGATTCTTCCCCTTCAAGTACGCACAAGTACCGCCCTTGTACTGCTCTCGGAGCACAGGCTGGGGTATCTGTAGAAGAGGTCGATTTAACTAACGCCTCTTTGCCTCATGTACTCTTGTTTTTTTCTGCAACTACCTAGCACACACCCACACACCCCCCCCCCCCCTCCCCCCTCCATCTTCCCCTCTCCGACCCCCGATACAACCGCCGACCACCCCTACCATCCGCCCCTCCCCCCTCCCCTCTCGTCTGCCCCAATACCCTTACAGATGAACGTGATGCATGTATGTGTATCTGCGAGAGTGTGGTGTAGGTAGCTAAGAAAGCGCACAGAGCAAGCAAGCAGGTGCCAGTCTAGACGAGGTACCTTCATGACCCGTCGGCTTGCTTTCTTGCACCACAATCTTAGATCAAGACCTTCGTAGTGTACACCCATTACGGATACATTTACAACAGACACATCCCATACCCATCAAGTACTTTTTTCCCCCTTCCTTGCCTTGTTTGGATGGAGCCACCATTACCGTCTCCATGCATGGACACATCTCTAAACTACCTAAACAACCCATGCATGCCTGCCAACCCTCCACCACATCTGCGTATATATCCTTGTCCCTCGCCCCGGGACTAATCGTCTCACCTCGAACGACTTCATCATCACTTTTTCTCTTGGGTCACAGTTGTTTTTTTAAAAGACCAATTGGTCCGCGCAATGGCTTGAGTTTCCATTGTCGTCTTTCCTCTCTGTATAATACCTTGTTTGACCCCTCCTCCTCGGCCATCCTCCCCCCTTCCAACATCCCATACACGCGGCCTGGGTGTTGGTCTTCCCTCTTGCCCGTGTCACTCTTTGATACCACACACACAACGACGGACGCAGACAAGGCGCTCTGGCAGTCTTGTCCACTACCTCGATCGTTAAGGTCCTTCTAGATAGGAAGAAGAGACTTGAGGATAGAGCGGGGAAAAGAAAGAGAGGCTTTGGAAGCAGCACGACGACACATACACCCCACCCCCCACCCCCCACACACACACATCTTTCTCATCGAGCCCACGTCCTCGAGAGTCTCGACAGCCATCCTGTAATACTCTTGCCCTACGAGCGTAATACCTTGGGGGTAGCAGAGCAGTTATTTGGAGACGCCGTCCGGAACTCATACTTCTAATTCACCTTTTCGGTACCGCCTTGAGACCTAGTGGAGGGTTTTCTTTTTCCCCCTTCTGGGCTGCCGCATTTCCGCAATCGAGCCAAAGTGGGGCCATTTCATCTGGAATCAACACCAGATATCAAGAACGGCAGGAAGTCACCGAGCTCCTCCCAGATTCACCGGGTCGACCTCTGCGCACAAGAAAGGAAGGCACGCTAAAGACCAGGAATCAATCCATTTGCCACCTTGATCGAATCCAACCTCGTCTCTAAACCCTCTTCAACCACCACTGCCAACTTCACCCCGCGAATTCTTGCTCGTGGCCTCGTTGGGTTTTCCCCCTCAATCTCCAACACATCACAATCCTGCCACTCCTCGGAACGTCTCATACATACACACCCACATCGAGGCAAAACTCGCAGAAGTGCATCATTATGGCGGCGGTCATGGATCTCTTTTGGCCTCATTTCGGCTTTGGCTGGTCTCCCAGCACCTGGATGTACCTCTTCATTGTCCTTTGGTAAGTCACAACCACCATTGAAGAGTTTCCTTTTGCACTGCTATTTCACATATAAAGAAAGAGAGAATTGCCTCTCTTCTCGTGGTTGTTCATGCCGCCAATGTCTAACGCCCTTGCCCAGGCTTCATCGATACACCCGTCTGCTCGTCAACTGTGTCAGCCACTGGGTCTACAAGTCCAAGCCAATCCCAGTCAAGCCGACCTTCACTGCTGACGACGTTACTGTCATCATTCCCACGATCCACAACGTCTTTGAGGAGCTTCGTTCTTCTCTTCTCAGCATCATCTCCTGCAACCCCCAGGTCCTAATGCTCGTCACCACCACTGAGAAGCATGCTGCCCTGGAGAAGCTCGCTAGAAGCCTCCCTCATGCCAACGTTCAAGTCTACTCTACCCCGATCGCCAACAAGCGCCTTCAGGTATGCGAGGCCTTGCCCAAGGTTACCACAAAGATCACCATCATGGCCGACGACGATGTCACTTGGCCTTCCACCCTGATGCCATGGATCCTTGCTCCCTTTGAGGACCCCAAGATTGGCGGCGTCGGCACTTGCCAGAGAGTTAAGCGCGTCTGGGATGGCCCGCTATCCACTCGTATCTTCAACTGGCTCGGCGCTGCTTACATCGAGAGACGTAACTTCGAGATCTCTGCTACCCACAACATCGACGGTGGTACTTCCTGCATGTCTGGCAGAACCGGCGCCTACCGCTCCGAGATCCTCTCCAGCCACGACTTCCTTGAGGGCTTTAAGACTGAGAAGTGGGGCAAGTACATTCTCAATGCCGACGATGACAACTTCGTCACCCGCTGGCTTGTCAGCCATCAGTGGAAGACCTGGATTCAGTATGAGAAAGAGTGCGAGCTCGAGACCACCCTCGAGAACAGCACCAAGTTCCTTTATCAGTGCTCTCGATGGGCTCGCAGCAACTGGCGCAGCAACTGGACCAGTCTCGTCCGCGAGAGATACGTTCTTACGTGAGTATATGCCCTTCCCTCTTATCCTCTGCCTCTTCTTGGCGCTTGATTAGCAGCAGGCAAAATACTAACCCATGACAAACAGTCAGCAACCCTGGTGCACTTACGCTCTCCACATTGCGACCTTCACCTCCTTGGCCTTCCTCTTCGACCCCCTCATCATCCTGGCTCTTTGGAAGGGCACTGCTGAGTGGGACCTGGAGAGCCGCCAACAGGCGCTGTGGGCCCAGATCATTTTCGTCTTCGGCTTCACCAAGGTCGTCAAGCTCATGGGTCTCTTCCGTCGCAACCCAAGCGACATCATCTTCCTTCCCGTGTCCATCCTTTTCGGATATGCCCATGGCATCATCAAGCTCTACGCCTTGTCCACCCTGAAGATGGTGAGTAACTGGTTTTGGCTCAATTATTATTGTTTTGCCTGGAATCAAGCTAATACTTTGGCAGACTTCCTGGGGCAGCAGAGCTGACGGCGACACCAACGACGACATCCGTCTCACGCCTCGTCCTAAGCGAGCCATGAGTCTGACCACACCTCCCGGTGGCCAGGACCTCGTCCGCTACCGCCACGAACGCCAGATGACCGAGAAGGTTGTCGACTGGCACCGCCCTGCCACTGAGTCGTGCAGACAGACTGTTCGGATGAACACATTCCCCGCCAAGGACATCAGGGTTCCGCACGTCACCTTCTCGCTCCTTGAGCATCCCTCGGACTAAGATCCAGAGTGGCCGGAACTTACGAATTATGATACTGCAACGAAGGGAATCATTGCCAGAGGTGAAACAGAACTCTGGCCGGGTGGTAGCCTTGCTTTCCTCTTTGAAGGGAGACGGAGGGATTTTGTTCAGTCGTTAGCCAACATTTTCGGCTACGACCATCATCTTCACATTTCGGCTTTACTTTCCCCCGAAAAACAAATCAACCAAAGTGGATTTTGAGGCGAGAAAAAGTTTTGCTGTTCTTTCATCCTCTTCACGAAGGATACATGCGATCGCATATGGGGGGCCGGAATCACAGCGCGACAGAGCATGTGCATGCGTGTGTCAGAGTATAATTATCAATGGCATCAAATCGACATCATGGGCTAGGAGGAACGAGTGGGTTGGTCATCTGCTTTCAGGGATACATTTCCTCTGGATTCCGCCTAATTTTCTTTTTCCTCTTTTTTTCTATCCAAAACCCCCCCCAAAAATGGAGATGGTAGGATCGTTTGGTTCCCGGGGGAAAAGAAAAGAACAAACCGGGAAGGGCATCGCGTGGCAGGCAGGCAAGCTTGGTTTTTTTTTTTTCCCAACATGATAACCCCAGAGAGCGGCGGCATTCCATTTCTGAGCCATTGCGAGGCATTGGTAGAAGGAAGAGGCAAGGGAGGGGGGCCGCGGCATTAGACAGTTCATCTCTATACCACTATTTCGTGTTCTTTCCACTCAGACAAGGAAAACGGGCTTTCCATAGAATGACGAAAAGAAAGCATATTTCCCACGAGAGGAAAAAAACATTGACATGATTTGTGATACTGGTTTGACAGTTCACAAAACCAGATTTCGATGTGGCTAGTGATGGCGAAGATTCCATGTCTGAGACTTTCGTTTAGACGGAATTTTGATCACAGACCGTGACTCAGAGCTGCAGGAAGGGTATCTTCACGAAGTAAGAAACCAACTAGGTACCTAGCGAGCCAATGGGAATAAACCGGCTCTGCGTTTAAACAAATCGGGGGATCGACTATTTCGATCGCCCCAGGGGGGGGAGGAGGGTTCTGATGGGAAAGAAGAAAGAAGCAGCGGGCAAACAAACAAGCAGAACACATGGATGGTCGCGTGGCCCTGTCCGTTACACAGCAGGTGACGGGCCTGCGTTCTCGTATCCCATCGACGTTGGGCCCCCTCCCCTCTCCAATGAACGGTTTCCGGGGAACCCGCGATATCTGACATGGCCTCTCCGCGTGTGCTTCCTGCTCCCGAGGGCTGGTGAGCCGGTTACACGACAGAGCCAAGGGATGCGAAGGAGTCTTGCTGTCATTAATTCTCCGGCGGACTGGGATGGATCTTTCTTGAGGAGGCGCGCTTTACATTGGGGGCGATGAGAGAGAGGAAGAAAGAGCGAGAGAGAGAGGGGGGGGAGGGAGTGGCTGTGTCATGTTCATGCGCCTCGTGGTGTTGTGTCTTACATGACGTCCTCTCACACTGGGCTAGGTGGGTTTTCTCCAGAGAGGAGGGGACGAGCACGCCGTATTGCAAATCTTAAACAACCACCCGTGGGCGGGGGAGATGAAAACAGCCGCTCCTGCATCTCTTCGCTGTGGTGGTGGTGGTTTCTTGCTCCATCCAGAGCTTTAGACAATGTCTATGTGCTACCGTAGTGCTCTACTACTTTGTTGCACACGCCCCCCTCTTGTCTCACGAGCCCATGAGAGTATGGGCCGATCGGTCTCGTGAGAGGATGTGTATGTGCGTAAATTTTCCGTAGTGGTAGTGGTGCTGGTGGCCGCGGCGGCGGCGGTCGTTGTCTCCGGAGAGAAAGGCTTCACACCCACCCTCCTCAATCCCTACTAGTTCATCGAACGGTTCGAGACTTGTCTCAATCAGGACGGCTAGTAAGACGAACTAAAGATATCCGAGGTCCCCACACTCAACGGGGGGGGGGTAACAAGGTAGGTAGGAGATGGGTTGGGCATTCGCAAACCCCCACAAGGGCATAATTTTCAAATCGGAGATGGGCGATGTCGAAGGAACTCCGATGCGTATTCGTGCCAGTGGTTGCCTCGAGCTTGAAGTCGAGATGTGATGGGTGGTGGATGAGTGAGACACGAAGGCCATCTCTCAGAACCCAATCAGGGCGTACGGACTTGAGCTACAAGGGCGACGACAGGTAGGATTGGCAGCCTCCTCGATGGATTGGGGGATCATGTCCTGTGGCCTTGTTTACGTTATCTGACAGCCCACCATCGTGTGCCCACCCCATGCTCGATTCAAGGCCTATCAGGCTGCCCCTCCCCCTCCCCCTCCCTTCCTCTCGAATCCCTGGCCTTGTCGATGCTGCAAATTGACAGAAAGAGCGTCCCTGATGACATAGTTGAGCCTGTATTCGGATCTCATGGCGTTTCGCACTGGACGAGGTTACGACAGATCTTTGTTCTAGACTCTTATATGGGGCACAAGGTAGTACAATTATACTGTACTGTACTCGAGTATGCTAGACACCCACACGTAGGGATGGGGTCCGTAACGTGCAGAGATGCACGACATCTTATGCATGCTTCGAGAGGTCAAGCCTGCCTAACACTGGTAGAAGGAGCAAGGACAATGTGGAGACTGTATGAAAAGCACTCACCAAGGCGCCTCCAAGTGTCTGACTGCGTTGGAATGCCGAACATGACGGAAGCTGACATGATGAGCCATCACCGGTTGTTGCAGATGTTGGAACACTAGTGGACCGAGTTGGTGGGCTGCTGAATGCTGGGCGCAGAAGTATCGCGGTATTGTGATTATGTGAGTCGCAGTGGAAGTGGCAGTTGCGAGAAAGGTGCTGATCGCATGGGAACGCAGGTTTTCTGGCCATCCAACGTCCGAAGCGAAAAAGAAATAGAAAATTAACGACGAGAGGCCACGAGCCAACGAAAAGAGGTGTAATGAGGATTGACAAATGACTTGGCATGCTGCGACGAGGGAAATATTTGCCAAAGGTTCCAGGAATGGAGCGAGAGAGAGAGAGAGAGAGAGAGAGAGAGAGAGAGAGAGAGAGAGAGAGAGAGAGAGAGAGAGAGAGAGAGAGAGAGAGAGGAGTCTTGTTGACCCGCCGGTACCTTTTTTCTCTCAGTGAGGGTGCCACTCACTCTCTGCAGCAGGAGGTGATGGCGAGCGAACCAATGCGACGGCACGAGTCAAGACGCATTGAGTATGCCAGAAGGGACGGAGGAACGGAGGGACGGAGAGAGATGCCCCAAGTTGAGGTGACGGGCAGGGAGGGAGAAGATAGATCGGGCGAACGGGCCTTGTGACAAGCGCCAGCAGCGCGAGGAAAAGTCTAGTCTGGCGGTAAATACCACGGCGATGAGGATAAGACGATTCATAAGCCTCTTTGGCGTCTAGTGGCGGTGGTCGTGTCTGTCTGTCTGTCTGTCTGTCTGGCCTGCCTGAGCGGTTCTGGGGAAATGGACGTGCGACGACGATAAACTGCGCCAGCCCAGTGACTGGCAAGGCACGGATAGCATGGCACGGATAGCATGGCACGGCGGCGGCAGGCTGCTGGAGGTCCAATGGAACAATGGGGCCACACACACCCCGCGCGCACGGCCGCTGACATGTCATGTCAATAGTGACTGTGGCATGAGCTTCGGTTTTCCTCAACGTCGAGTTGAGGTGGTGTACAATGTGACATCTACCACTAGGAGGCAGGTAGGTGGCGGGTGCAATGCAGATGCCCGTGACGATCTGGATGGAGTCAGGGGAGTCTCGGACTGTACAAAGTGTGTACAATTGTGGCCCAAAGCAAGCCGTCTGACATCCGCTCTCTCAACGGCGCCAACTAATTTCTACCTACCTACCTACCCACCTACCTAAGTCTGTCTACCGGCTACATGCCGACCTACCTCTAGTTAAAGGGTAGATACCTACCTGTTGCCTGCCTTGCCTGCCTTGCCTGCCTTGCCTGCCTTGCCTGCCTTGCCTGCCTTGCCTGCCTTGCCTGCCTTTTCAGGAAGTGACGCACACTCGGTGGGTTCATCTCGACAGGCAATTACGCGACTTATTTGGTCTGAAGAAATGCGCCTTCCTTGACACTTTTGATGAGGGGAAGGCAAGACGGGAAGCGACAAGACAGCACAGGGAAAAAAACAGCAAGAGCAGGCAGGCAGGCAGGCAGGTACCTCGAGGAAGGAAGTTGCCCGTGCGCCAAGGTGTACATACTTGCTTGCCATTTGAGAAAGGTTTCCGTACTTATTTTTTCTTCCTCCTCCAAGTGGGGGAAAGCATGGAATGCAGAGCATGGCGGGGCAGGAACGGGGGTGGGAGGTAGGGACACTTGAGGTACTTGTGTTGCTCTCGACGCACAGGCGGCCGCTGTATCTCCATGACCTGGCCATGTACCTTTTCTTGCTCCCTCTTTTTCCCCCCTTCTCTTTCCTCCATGCCTGTATGGTGTGGTGCAGGTACTTGGCTCGTCTCGTCGTCCGTCCTTGCCCATCGTGCCATCTCATCTCGAGGCCGAGCGGAAACAACACCACACAGACTCGCATCATGTCGACATCCCGTCCGTAGTCCACCGCACAGACATGACACGAGGGGGCGGAAACGGAGTCGGGAGCGGGGATGCGCGAGCAGCATTTTCAGCACATGCAAAGTCTAAAGCGAAGAAAAAATAAAAATAAAATAGAATCGTTCATGGATGTCGAAACGCGCAATCTCCCAACCCCCTCTTCAAATTGTTGAACATGTACGCACGCACTACTAGCTACTACATGACGGCCACCATCACATCATGTCATGCTGAACACCCTTATCCTCTGTTGATGTCCATGTCTCTCTGCTGCAGCAGATTGACTTCTGTGTTTGACCATTGGACAAGCACTTGTCACTTTTCTCTTGTAGATTCCCTGTTGGGTGAGCGACACAGGCCAAGACGGCGTGGTGGCCTCGATGCAACCCACCCTTGCTAGCCACCGCGCTTATCCTTTTCCTGTCGGACCTGCGTCTGGCTGCACCACCGCCTACGATGTACTACTTCTCGATCCAACATCATCATGCACGCAGAGGGGTGGGTGGGGTGGCCGACCAACGATGCCAGTCCCATTCTTCTTCACCTCCGTTCATGCCCTTGGTTTTTTTTTTTTTTTTTTTTTTTTTTGGTACTCTTTTCTACACAACGTACCAATCCCTTCACGACTTCTACTTGTCGAGTACGGAGTACCGCCCTCCATACATGCGATCTTCTTATCACGAGTGTTTTGTGCCTTACGCCACGATACCACCCACCATCCTTACTGCCTGTTTCGGATGCTGAGCGTCTCTACTACTCATCTCCGTCTTTGACGTTTTGCCGAGAACACCCCCGAAAGATTGCTCAAAGCTCCTGCACGAAGGGGTTTGTCTCCTTCTGTCAGCCAGCAAGAGATGCGGCGGCTCTGTATTCACGAGGTTGCAACCTAGTGGATCTGCTGGATGGTTGGTCGCCAAAAGAAGCCTAAATAAATACCTTCGACTCGGTATGCCCGCACCTTGGCTCTCCTCGTCTCTATAACATTACCTCCCAATGGCTGCCCGCCCATACGTCGCCGAGGCGGTTATGTTCCTTGCAAGGCCGCACATCTTGAGGAGCACTAGTAGGTATACACTTGATCTGGCATGGGCAGCCACATGAACCTCCGGTCATGAGCTCCGTGCCCAGCACCAGCTTCGGCTTGAACTCCACCTCCATCTCGAAACCCTAGCCCTGACTCTCCATGATCCTCCGCACGCCTAGTACACCAGTGTAAAAAGAGCATGGAGGCTGATCATGACCGAGGGCTTGGTGGGGTCGACTTAGTCGGGTGGACCAACGTCGTCTTCGCGCAGCCCGCCGGTCCCGTTTCACCGACGACGCGTACGAATACACGGACAGAGCCGGATACTCTTACATTGAACGGGGAATGCGCTTCTGCTCAATGGACCATCGTTCCTGAGAAGCCGTCATCTCCCTCGCTCTCGGTACATACACCCTCGATGTCTCTCTCGCAACATTGAACAAGGCATCAAGTCTGGCTACATCGTGTGTGGACGACGGATGGTCGGTTTCCTTGCGCTAGGGTCCATCTTGCAACACTGATCTGCGGCTGCACTGCAAATGGTTGACATCGTCATGCATCGCAATCGTTCATGCTCGCAACCCGAGATCCGCCGGGGAAGCACCTCGCGCGTTCCAGGCCGCGTCTCGCGCCTGTAGTGCCGTTACACCTGCCTGTCCACAAGCTGATCTCCGCAAACTCTGACCGTCGCAAGCCCGGATGGACAGGCTCACGATCTTCCCGCTAGCCCGCTCTCGCGTCGATTCGGGGGGGGGGGGTGCCTGTCTGGGAGGTCCCTCTATGCCTAGCCAACCCCGCAGGGATAATATCATCCCATGGCGACATCGAACAGGCCAGTTCTTCTTCAACGACCAGGGGTCTTCAAAGGCCCGTGTGCCTGCCAACAACAGAATCGTATTTATGGGGAAGAACACCCACGACAACCAAGGAATGAGAGGCATTGACGGAGTTGCATCTCGAAAATATCCCGGTCCAAGAGGGGAAAGTCCATTCGCTTCGCTTGGTTCACTGCAACCCCGACTGACATTATCATGCAGCTTCGAAAGGCTCGGAACCAACAATGGCAAAGATAGCCCAGCCCTTGACTGGGTGGCCCGCCAGCAATCCTTCGATCCACACAGGCGTCTTCGGCGTTCACAAGCCGTTGAAGAATTTCATGTCGCCGCAAAGGTGTTTCTACCAACTGGACAACGGCTATGCGAATGAGTTTATGGTCTGATCGTTTCAATCGCCCTTCAGCGGCATCGACGACGACAAATCGAACTATCCTGCTTGCATTGCAATTGCAACGCAGACCGAGCACTTCAATGATTCTGCGGACTGCAAGCTCCTCGCAAGACCCGGCTGGCATCGCATTCTTGGCCCATTGACTCGGCCAGTTCGATCGTTTTGTCACGCTAGCTGCACGATGACTGGACGGGTCGGTCTCTGGTGGTCGCTATCACCGGTTATCCGCTCGCTATACTAAACAAGACATGGAGTCTCCGTCCGTTGACGGAGGATCCTCAGGACCCCTGCCACCACCAAAGGCCTACCCCTGTTGGAGGTACAAGCCTAGTACTCGCGATGTACCCCTTAGGTTCTGATTCAGGATATGCCCGGGTATTACCATCCAATATTGACGCTGCCTTCGTCTCGTTGGCGCCAAGATTGTTCCACCCTCGGCCATGGAGCGCGCAGCTCCTGCGCGTTGAGACAGTCCAATGCCTCGCCAGTGGTTGACCAGAAGCTGCATAGTTCGGGCCAGGAGTTGCTAAGATGGTCAGCAAAACTCAATACGCTTATCAGAACTGGAAACAGCTCGCAAGCGCCCGCCAGCCTTCAAGGATAGTTTCCTTGAGCGCGTCATCAACCAGATTCCTTCCGTCGTCACTCGGGTGGGTTTGGAGTGTTCGCTTCGGCCCCCACGTATATCATCTCGGCAGGAGGGTCAACGGCCATCATCAACGTATTGACGGATGCGCGCGAACCTCATTGGAGAAAAGGTCACCGTTCGGAGACCCATGCCGAATGTTCACACCCATTTCCCAGCAATACCCACAGTCGATGGAAATATCTCAAACTCCTTTACTGGCAAATGGGGGCCAGAAAGTTATCAGACCATCGTCGTGGCCTGTAACGATTGAGGCTCAACTCGCGAAGCAACGGGCTGTTGTACCTCGATAGACAAGAGTAGTTGTTGGCGCTCGATCCCATGGCCCCGTTGTGATCCGAGCGAGCCACCTCTGCGGTGGTGCCGATTTTTATCGCGGCTGCGGCGTGCGCCGCTCAAATTCCCTTCGCTCATTGTCATCGAAACAAACACCCCCCCCAAGAACTCTCCACTAAAGACAAGGACCGGCCGAGGCCTGGCCGAAGAGTGGAACTGACGAGCGCTGAAGAATTGACTGGGGGAGGGAGGGGAGGAAGAACGGCCTGCTAACTACAAGTCGACTGGCAGGACCCTGTCCGTCTGCAGACGGATGATGAGACCACGCCCCCGCCTCTCGAGCTATATACTAACCAAACCCCCCAGCGTATGTCTATCAACACAGACCATGGAGCAGGAGCTCCATCACAGTCTCACAGACCAGCAGCTAGTGGTGGGGTGGGAGGGGGGCTAACCTCGAATGACGAGGTTCTGCTTCGCTGCTGTCCTCGCGAACAGAGAAGCATCGGTTGCGAACATGGCTATAGAGCGGTGATGAAGCCGGGCAGGGCAGGGTTTGAGCAGACATGATGCAGATGCAGGACCAGCTCTAGAGCATCTTTGGCTGTGTCCGTCACCTTTGGGTGGCTGTCTTGCGATGGCGAAGCACAACAAGCAGCCGTGGGTGGACCGATGACCAGATCAAGTGGATGGATAATCAAGAACCTATGCTACTGCTCTTGTGTCTGTGGGTGTAAGATGGACCTGACCTGTATTTAGACCAGTTGCATCACGAGCTCTTAACCATCTTGCTTTGTTGCGGGTTTGGTAGAAGTGTGGCGAGCAGGTTTTTCGTTTGTAGGGAGAGGCGACAACAGCTTGCGGCCAGTGGCTTGCGTGTTGGCGTCACATGCTGATGATTTCGCAGCCTTGCACGGGTTTTTCTTGGTGCAACAAACAACTCGAAGACATGCAATCTCCTTGTACTGGACAAACTGTCACATGACTTTTGGGGTCCAGGTGGACGCTAGATGTACGATGTACTTTGAAGGCGTCATGGTATGGATTCAAGCAGAGTAGGATAAATCTTCGTTATGACGTGACAACCGCGCTTGTTTGAGCGACGCACGATCTGGGACGTGGCGAGAGAAAATGGGAAAACGGAAAAGAAAAAGATGGGAAGTGTATGTATGTATTCTGGGCGACTTGCCGCCGTTGCCAATCCAACAGTACACTTTAGACGACGAGCAAGCGTCGGTATGTCAAGCTTCGTTACTCTACCGTCTCGCCGTAATGGTTTTACTCTGGCTGTACCGGGTAGGAAATGGGTGGCGGAGGTGAAGCAAGTGGTATGTTCGCAAAGGATGTGTGATATTCGACTCTGTCGCGCCCCCCCTTCTCTCTCTCTCTCTGTCTCTCTCTCCGCCCACTTCCTCCGCAACGCGATGAAAATATAACACATTAAACAAGGGGGAGGAGATGGCGGGGCAGGGGAAAGACGGTTGGCAATGGGGGCTAGAACGTGGGGAATGAATTGGTTCTTGTTTGGCGAGTTGAGCCGCTGTTGATCTTTCACATGCTTTCTTTTCCCCCGCCTTTTTTTTTTCTCTCCTTCTTTTTCTCTCCCTCTCTCCTTCTTCTTTCTTTCTCCCGTCGACCATTGGACGAAATTCTAATACCGTCCAGATATCTGGATTCCCTTTGATTGGAACGGATGTGTCTTGGATATGCATATGCAGGCAGATTCGTTCCGACGCTGGGTTCGTAAGAATCGCTCAATGATTGTGGCTTGCCGTCCCCGCCCCCAACTGCATGGCTTGAGGCAGGGCTTGAAGTAAATTTGTACACGAACGCCTGGCCGGCTTGGCAACCGAGGCGCAATGTCAAGCTGAGCCGATTCCAAATCAGCTGCTTCCTCTCTAGAACAAGCTCACCTGCTTAATCTCGGGGAGGCCAGCCAGCCAGCAAACAAAATGCCTCAGCGCAACGCCGTTGATGCGGCACGCAGGGCGGCATGCGAAGCTCGGGAGATTCTGTAGCGAAATCCTGCTTGTGGAAGTTCAAGGGCAATTTCAGCCGTCACCCCCTCTCATCCCGATCTGCCTGATGTCGGCATTAGTGCGTCGTGCGGTTTGTGAACTTGTCTTGTCCTGCCTCTCGGGCGCCATTGGGATGTATGACTGAGGAGAGGCGCAGGCATCCCCACATGCCGCAAAGGTACGAATGCCTGTCCGGAGTCCCGCGTGTGTCCTCGGGGGCGGTGTTGGATGAACGAGATCTTCGTGCCGTGGCGTCCAGGTCCGCGTCTCTGGGATGATGGAGCCCTGGTAGGTTCGCGCTTGCTCGGATGGTTTGCCCGTGCGGTCGGGAGGCGTTCGCAGATCAACCCAGTGGCCCAGCCCTGGGGTCCGATGATGCGACGTTCCGCGAGGTTGCTGGATTCCTGCGATCTGTTATCCTCACGAAAAAAAAAGGGGAGGGGCCTTGGGTTCCCTTTGGCGTACCAACAACGCCCGCCATTTGGGGAGTCCAACCGGGGTGCTCGCGAAAAGTGTTCTGAGTCGGCTGGGATCCTCGCCGAGGGCTATGCGAGCGGTTTCCGTGACGAGTGACGGTTGGCCGGCTGATCGCTCTTCCTTCCCGTCGGGAGAGGAATCGAACGGCCCTTTGGACGCTGAGGGTCTAGCCACTGCGAAAGGGATGAAGAACGATTGATATTGGGACGTTGTAGCGCTCAACGCCACTGGGGTACGCCTCAAAGCACATGATGCCTACCGGGCGGTGGCTTGCGGCTGCATTGCGTCGATACCCCTCTCTCATATCTCATCATCGCTCTTCGTATCTTATTATTGGGTTGAAGTTTAGTATATATATCATTCTTCGGGTTTTTGTGCACGGGGACGGCTAGTGTGCATTATTGTTCAGCGAACTGATGATTACGTATGAAGGGAACAGATATCCTTCTCTTTTACACGACGTTGCTCCCACAAATCAGTGTTAGACGGTGGGTAAACGATGGACCAATTCTCTATAGCACAGGTATAATGTCTTGTCTTGTGCTGTTTCAGTATGGCCGAGACTTTCCTTGGCGATTCTGATAGAGTGGAACGCGCGAGTTCTACTCGATTGGACTTGGCAACTCGGCCTTGGTTATGATGAGACGGGAAGTCTCGCCTGCTTTTCCTTCCATTTCAGGAGAAGATGGAAAACTTTGAGAGCCAACCGCAAGTGGCGGAGGCAAACATGTGTGCATCTACCGAAAGACGTGTATCCGGATTTGCCATCGAGACGAGAAACTGCAGGGACGAGTGCATAGTCATCGGGTCAACTACATTGGCCTTGCCACCAACTCAGCAGAGCAGACGATGGGAACGACGAGTACATCTATGAAGTACAAAAAACTTGAAGTATCGTGGCGGAGCAAGACGGAAGCTCAAGACAGAGGAGCAAAATAGACCTACTTGGGGAAGAGAAGGGGGTCTTCGTATTCATCAATGTCAGTTAGCTGAATCTGGTCATATCGTACTACCTGCGCCTCCTGCCGATATGGAAGTTACATTGTCAATTTTCTCGGTACTCAAGCCCAAGCTCGAGCGACCTTTTCTTGCTGGGACCATGCCCTCCAGTTTGAGGACATCTAACCCAAGTCGGGCGCATGTGAAGCCTTTGCGGTTAGCACAGTGGCACTGGGCATCGTTAGGTATATGAATAGTTGCTGATAGTTTACGGGTAGATGTCAAGGTCGATGCAGACCTAGATGATTGCATGAAACAGACACTTCGTAACTCAAAACATGGTCCGATGTCGTGGCATCAGACATTCCGGTTCATTTCAGCGGGAGGAGTCAAATGCATCGGCATCTCTGACGGAACGATATGTATCCATCGGTCCCTCAAGGGAACAAACTCGAGCTTCGGAGTATTACCGGATGAAACATGGCAAAGGCCAAGTAGTCGAAAGTCGCCACATCCGGCTGCCCGGTGAAGGACGGAGCACGACCCCTTAGCACCCGAGATAACTGGGTCGCCCGGAGACGGGGCACGACCATCCCCGCGTCCTTCACCCGAAACCAACGGGTCCCCGCTCGCCCTCGTCTTCCGGCTCGGACTGGGAGTGTTTCCCAGAAACTCCGGTTTGGCAAGGACCGGGATCGGAATACTGGGGGAGGAGCACGCACGCCCTCTCGACCGCCTTCCCACGGCGACGGGTGCGAGAGACCAGAAACAGAGAAGAAGAAAAGAATCGAAGGGGAAAAAAAAAACGCCTTCTTCCGAACGCGGCAACACGTCCCACTCAACCACGTCATCGAATGGTCTCGGATGACCAAGAAGTAATGCTACCGAAGGATTCGGATGGTTGACTGAAGCCGCGAAGCTCATCGGCCCGAAGACAGGGTGGCTTCGGCTAGGGTGCGCGGGGGGGCCTTTTGGTTGGAATATCCGAACCCGGCAAGAGTCCTACGAGACGCCTTATCGCTCCGTGCTTTCTGAGACAGGGGCTCAGCTTACGTGAGGCGAGAGCATCGTCGTCCGCCGCAGTGTGCACCCCCAGTGGCCGTACCCGGAGCGGACAAGCCCTCCGTCGGCTGGAACCGTCCCGACAGTTGATCAAAGGGAAGGGGCGCCGTCCACCTAGGAATGCCACAGGGGCAGAAATGATCAGCGGAATCTGCCGGTCGAGGATTCGGGGGCAACGTGGAGAGGATATGGGGGCGTGCTGCACGGGAGGGAAACGAACAAAAAGGTTGTTGTGAAGGATGGGAGGGAGTGACCGAAGACATGAAAACGTCCACCTAGGCAGGTGAAGGCAAGACCTCGTACTTGTCCATAAGCGTAAATCGCTGCCAAGAGAGACCGCCCCCTTCATCCTCCTCCACCCTATAGACCCCCGGAGCGAGTCCTCCAACAACGTGGGGGGACTTCCTCGCAGTGTGTTCCAAAAACGTATCTCGGGATCAAAGAAGCATGTGTGTGGCAAAGGCCCTCTCCCACCTCGTGGGCCATCGTACGTTGGGCTTCGCACACATACTTCCGTACCCACGTTTGCGGAAAGAATAGGCCACACATCACTCTATCAGCCAAGCCGCCATCACCTTTTGGCTTTTCCGATCCCATTCGGCCGTGGTGACCCACAGGTGCCAACAGCAACAACAAAGAACCAACAGGATGATGGGGGAAAGGCGGTGTCAATAGAGTGTGGTTGTCTGTCAATTGTGGCCCTAGTGAGCCTCGTGCTGGGCAATCGATCGTACACGTACACATGCGCACGATGTAAGCAGGCACATCAATTTGCAGCCATTGTTCTCGAAGCATCCTCTAAGAGACTCACTATTGACTGCGAGAGAAGGACAGTATAACGCTTGTTTGTCTTTATGCTGAAGAATTAGACTACATGGTTCATGATGCCAGGCAGGACGGGACAGGTGAAGAGGTTGCCCCTCCGATGCGGGCGAGGTGGACAAAGGAGAGAGACAAGAACTTTGACAAAAGAAGAGAAACGGTATCCACAATCGCTGCATCCCCAAGTTGCGCATGATCATGGCCAAGCAAGAAGAAGAGAGTTTTCCCCCCAAATGCCGCATTCGTAAAAGGAAGGTGAGAAAGACGGGGAGAGGGGGAAAAAAAAACCTAAAAGGGAAAAGGAAGAACGGTCGTAAGTCGTCAAAGAAGACAGAGCAAAAGCATTCGTGGGCATTAAACTTTTCCAGCAAGGTATAGTATGTTTTCCCTCACCGCATCCGTTACCTCTCCTTGTCCTGTATACACGTAGGCGACGGTGCTAGGCCAGGCCTCGGGATGGGGCAGTGGCAGATCGATAACGTCTCCCGTCGTAATGTGACCAGAAACAATGAGGGCTGCCAACACCGGGAGTGAGGTTCGGGCGTACTGGAGATCTGCGGGTGGGTTGGGCGTTAACCTTGGTCTGCGTGCTCCCGGGAAAGGAGAGGGCCGGCTTCTGGGGCTACAGCCAGAAAAGTTCAAGTCCGCAAACGTCTATTGGGGATAAACTTGGGTGAGACACTACTTACGAATGGGCATGGTGGTAACGCCACGCGACGGAGCTGTTCGGGCATCTCCAGATTTTAGTCCACGGCTGTAAGGAAGCGGGTTGAGTGCCGCGCTGCTCGACATCCTACGTGCTGCGCTTGGCCGAGGTGCTGAGACATTCGGTAGTGGCGCGGTCTTGAGAGATTGCAGCGAAGGCCGCCGCCTGTGATCTACCGAAGGGGAGCTTGGCAACGGGTCTGGGATAGTGGAGCGTAGCTGCTCAATGTCGAAGGTGCGCTGGATGAGAAATGGCTTGCGTTCCAGGGCGCGAGGGCGCACGCGAGCACGGATCGAGGTCTGGTGAGATGGTGTTGTCGGTGTAGGCGGCATGTGTGAGGGTGATGAATCGCCGGTCGAAAGGTCCGAGTTGGTGCTGGCATCAGACTGCCGCCGGAGGGCCACTGCTTGGACAAAGACGTCGGAGGTTTTGGCATCACCCAGATATACGTGGCCCCATGCCCTTAGTTGTTCGAGATGAAGACGCTTCTCAGCGTCTTTTGACCTTGCGAAATAGCTGGTCCCGGCCTCTGACTGCCGTCGCTGTACCTCTTCGCCGAGGCCGGCTAGAAGCATGGATCGAGTCTCGGATGCGAGCGTCTGTCTCCTGTTACTGGTGGCGGGTGGTGATACGGGGGTTGCCGAAGGCGGAGGACCCGGCCGGCGCGGACTTATAGGTGCGGCGGCCGAGTACCGCCTCGCATGGCTTGTCGAATGTTCTGCGAGAGGGGAGAGGGGCCGTGGCCGATTAGCAGACTTTGGCGGGCTGAGGTCGACACGTTGTGCTTGGCGGATTCTATGGCTGAGACGGTCGACCATGGCTCGCTCGTGTTGTCTCATGGACCCATCGTCGGAGGGGAACACGGGCATAGGCAAACTTTTGGGTGATCGATCAGAAGAACTGTAATAGGAACTGGGGGCGGGAGCTCTGCCGCCTGAGCGAGGAAACCCGCCGAGGTTATACTGAGAGCTCCATAGAGGGTGGAGATTAGGACGAGGGTGGTTGTCAACCGGGGTAGCCATGATGATGGGGATGGTGGTGGTGGTGATGATGATGAGGTGAGCACCACACAAGCTTCTGGCTTGTATCAAGGGTTTACGGAAACAGGAACAGAGTCAAGTCAAAGCTGGAGTGACAGCGAACGGTCCCTGAGATGGGGATGTGCAACCAGATAGAATGTATAGATGGTATGGTGGTGATGAAGACAGAATCTACAACCCTGTAAGGAGTTGACCAAGGGGGGAGGAGCCTTCTTATGTTTGGCGGGGATGGACGCGATGGGAATTAAAATCTACTAGATGAAGGATGACCTTGTTGCCCTTCTCTCCATGTCTCTGGTTTCTTCCACCTTCTTTTTCCAAGCCCGAGAGAAAGACCTTTGCGCCAACTGCCGGGATCGGGAAATGAAAGGATCGGTAGGGTTGGCAGGCCTCTCAAAGAACAAAAGGGCTCAGCTAAAGGTACGAACGGCAAGGAGGAGGGGGGTTCGACTGGATGGATGTTGCTGATAGAGAGGAGGGTGTGTCTTTCCAGCTCCCGCTTGGTTTGCAAAGAAGACGGCTGGGGAGTGCGGTGAGTAATGCAGTCGTCGACTCTCATTCAACATTGGGCGGTTGCGGCCAACACACAGCCCATGTCACTGTAGGTGAGAACAAAGGAGGTGAGCTAGGTAGGCATGTGGGTTTCCCAGAGCATAGCCATGGGTGACGGGGGGGCTTTGACTGGGAATTTCTGCAGAGGACCGCAGAGGAGAACAAAGGAAAGACACCATGTCTGCGCTATGATTCGTCATGTTTCTGACCAGGCAATTCAGTCTCGAGGGTTGGAGCTACACCCTGTCCGGGCTCGACGCAACGGGCACGTATTGGTACTCTTCTGTGATGTCGCCTCTCGTGGATGAGCAACCGAAAATCTAGTCGGTCATCGAGAACGGGCGAGAAGCAGTGTCAGAGATAGAGATAGAGGTAGAGATAAGAGAGAGACAGAGACAGAGAGAGAGAGAGAGAGAGAGAGAGAGAGAGAGAGAGAGAGAGGGAGAGAGGTGGAGATGGGGAAATAGAAAGAACGCAATCAACACTGTCGAAGCTTGTGGGGTACAGGTGCATTGGCACTAGCAGTTGGACTAAGCTGGGCTTGCCGTCCTTGGCATGGCTGTATTCGTAAAGGTAGCTGAAATTAGTAGCTGGTTCGAAGCTGGCGAGCTGCTGTCTTCAGTTGCCCGTGGTGAGGCCGAAAGGCAGTGTGGAGGCGGAACATCAACGGTGTCGATTGTGTCTTGCAGAGTGTCTTGGACGTGTGCATCGCCGATGGGGAAAAAATGGAAACAGCGGAACAAAACAATGTGGAGGCAGCAAATGGGATCCCTGATATTGATGCCTGGCTAGAGGGAGGTGAAAGGAGCGGGCAAACTGATGAGCTGATGGACGGATGGAATGAGACAACAGCAGAGACACACGGCGCCCGGAGAAGACGCCAGGAATGCGAAAGTTTGTGTGTTGCGCCTGATGTGAACCTGACCTTTGGCAGTTAGTTTCCTTTGAAGGGACGGATGGCACCGGGAATTCCAGCATCAGGCAAGGTTTCCTGCCTCCGTGCCTCCGAGGCCATTCTCGGGGTGGGCCCGTAACCACCGTACCGCACCGTACCGCAACGAGAGCCTGCTGATTGGGTAACAAACGCGCCTTCCTGTCTGTCCATGTTTGCGACAGGGGGAAAGGACGATGCTGATGCTGATGCTGATGCTGATGCCAAAAAGCTGGGTGGGGCAAGAGGGAGCTTGGACCACCCCTTACTGCTTTCTGGCCAGAATTACGGATACTGTATCCGTAAGCTGCTAGCAACTTCGACTGACGACGTTGCACTCACCACTTACTTGCAAGCTCAGAGGGACCACATCGCCGGCAGAGCAGGAACTGGTTGCTTGTTCTTTTCTCTCTCTCTCTCTCTCTCTCCCCCCCACCCTCTCTCACATACATCCTACCTACCTGGGCAGGCACCTACCTACCTACTCGGTAGCCAAAGGCAACCCGTATTGCTCTTTGTTACCTTCAAACTCCTTTTCGGGCCATGCTTTGAAATCCCCTATTTCTTGTTTCTGTCAGAAACCCCCTTCTCACTCTGTCCTCTGACATACTCTTTGGAGCCGCCATCGCAAACATGTCTGACACTACGGCCGTGAACTACAAGAAGCTCAAGGAGGACTTCGTCTCAAACCTCTCCGGTGGTTCCACTTCTGAAATCAACTACGTGACTGCCGTCGCTCCCGTGCGTAACTATACTCTTTGCTCAAGAAACCTTGAACCCCCCCTCTTTCTTCCTCCTTTCTCTTCTATACCAGCGCATGCATCCAGATAAAGCAAGCTAACATGCGCGTCTCCCGCCGCTTCAGGTCGCCGTCCTGCTATGGTCCGTCCTCCAGTCCCGCCAGTCCTTCTTCAAGCCATACACTGTGCTGGGAGCTGCCCTCGACTACCTCCTCAACGTCACCGCCATTCTCCTTTCCACGACTCTCTACGCTTCCTCCCCTCTTCTCCTGAGCGCACTCCTCCTCGCCCCCGCCGCCTTGACCTACGCCTTCCCTCCCAATCTCGGCGCCAGTCGCAAAAAGCCTGCCATACCCCCCAATGCCAAGTCCAAGGCCGCCGCCGCGGGCACCCCTAAAGCGTCGCCTTCGGCGTTGCCCGTCAAGCCGTTTCTGACGCACTATCGCGGCAGCATGCTCGTCGTCACCTGCATCGCCATCCTCGCCGTCGACTTCCGTCTTTTCCCCCGCCGCTTCGCTAAGGTCGAGACCTGGGGCACCTCGCTGATGGACATGGGCGTCGGCTCCTTCGTCTATAGTGCTGGCCTTGTCGCTGCGAGACCTGTCTTGAAGGAGCGCGCCGAAGGTAGATCGACGCCCCTGACGACGCGTCTGTTGCAATCGATGCGCCATTCCTTACCGCTGCTTGTGCTGGGTGTCATCCGCCTGCTCAGTGTCAAGGGCCTCGATTACGCCGAACATGTCTCCGAGTATGGCGTGCACTGGAACTTCTTCTTCACACTAGGCTTCCTGCCGCCCTTTGTAGCCATCTTCCAGTCCGCCCTCAAGATTGTCCCGAGCTACGCCGCCCTCGCCATCATCCTCAGTGTTCTGTACCAGGTTGCCCTCGAGAGCACGGATCTGAAGGCCTACATTCTGACCGCGCCAAGAGTAGACCTGCTTTCCAAGAACCGAGAAGGCATATTCAGCTTCTTCGGCTACCTGGCCATCTTCCTTGCTGGCCAGGACACGGGCATGTACGTCCTGCCTCGCAGCATCAACCCCAAGAGCGACAGCACCCCTTCCACCCAGCGGAAGACGCTTCTCTTGACCATGGCCGTGTGGTCTGCCGTGTGGGCCAGCCTTTTCTTCTTGACCACGAGCTACAGCTATGGTGACGGGTTGAGTGTTTCGCGTCGTCTTGCGAACCTACCCTACGTACTCTGGACAGCAGCCTTCAACTCGACACAGCTTTTGGCCTATGCGGTTGTCGATACCCTCTTCTTCCCATCGTCTTACAACGCCGCCGACGCCAAGGCGGAGGGGGAGGCTTACGAGACTGCCACAAGCAGGGTCCTCCGTGCGTACAATCGTAACGGTCTGTTCCTATTCCTCATCGCCAACGTCTTGACCGGCCTGATCAACATGACCGTGCCGACGCTACATGTTGGACCGCTAGCGGCTATGAGCATCTTGATCGCGTACAGTGCGGCAATCACGGGCATTGCCCTTTGCCTAGATGCGTACGGCATCTCCATCAAGTTGTAGCGTACCTGAGAATACCCAAGCTTGTATATATGACAATCAAGATCCAGTTCATATGATTCGCGACCGCCTGGGTTAACAAAACACGAAACAGCAATAGCCAGAGGAAAATTCAGCATTGCTCCCAGAGTCCTCCAGGAGCGCATCACGTATACTCCAAGGCAGCAGCATAGGTATAGTTACAATCCTGGGGATGTCACGTGTCAACAGCCTGGGACTAGACTGCGCGACCCCTTTTGGATGATGAGCCGGGTACCAACAACAACAAACGCCTCGGGCCTATCTCGACACATCCCGGGGTGGGGGGAGGCGATACGTTGCTCAATTCAGCCCGCTGCGAAATCGCAGTCATAAAGTGATGCACTACAGCTTGGCAGGATCCTACGTCGCAAGAGGAACTGTCCCCCGAGGCTGGTGATGACATGACAGAGCGACCTGCATGCCGGTTGTACGACTCCAGCGAAGACTCATCATGGCATGAACAAAGCCCTCCCTACTCGCCCGCACAAACCTGGCCAATGCTGCTCTTCTCCCAAAGAAACCAAGAGCGCATTGATGTTCTTCCTTTGCCTGGCCCCCTCGGTCCAATAGAGTCATCCACTCCGTCGGGTTTGGAATCATTCTAGAAAGTAAGGTGGGACTGACTGGGAAGAACAGGGTGAAGGCAAACAGGAAACACGGGTGGCAGACTGGGTTCCCTATCCATGTTCCTCGGGAACACCGTTGGCCGACCATAGACTTTCGCATGGTTGAACGCGTGGACTGCATGCATGTATGTGTGCTTCCTCCGAGTTGTGGCGCGGCGTGAGTGCCCCGCATAGGATCCCGATCTGGTCCAAGGACGACGTTGTGTTTGCTTGCCTGCTAGGGTCGTCCTGGAACTATGTTGACATTGGGCAATGGCTACGCAGTAATCGACACGGATGGGCATAGATGGGACGTGGTTTTCGCGCGATTAGGTATCCGGGTTGGTGTAAACGGGGTTGTCCATGGGCGCCTGTGAAGTTGGGGGAGGGGGGGGGGGATGAACACCTCCATATTGGCCCGGTAAGCCGCCAGCCAACTGATAAATTTGGTTCTCACAAACTCAGTTTGGGCTGCCACAAGGTGATGTTGTTAAAAGAGTGCCCGTCGCGCTCGCAGAAGAACATGGTAAACAAACCATACAAACAATTCAGCCTCCAGCGGGCGATGAGTGACCGTCCCGTTCTCGTTAGCGAACGAAGCGGCGCATCG